CAGTCATCAAGTAATGCCAGTTAAGTTTACCTGTCATTAGTTCAGTGGTGCTCCTAGCAGTAGTTCATGTGGTAGTCCCCATGAACCGGAAAGAAACCTCATGAAAGTGTATTTTTCAAGGTCAGTTTCCACAAACCATTTAGTTTTATTGACACAGATTATTCCTCTATTTCAAAGATTGACAGTGGGTACCCCAGTGATTTAAAGGATTGTTTCAGGATTTCTCAAGTTTGTCTTAAAACAATCTTGCAATGCCCATTTGTACATGAGAATAGGTCTTAGTCATTGTAACTTTTCCTGCTCTCCACACACAATGCTGCTACATATCACTTTCATTCTGTGTAAACCTGCACTCCAAAGTTTGTCTGAGGCTCAAATTGAGGTTCAGCTGTCCCACTAAGGTAATTTGAGTCAATATTTTTAAAGGTGCACTCTATTTAAGACACATTTCCCCTTTCATGTCCCAGGACAGTAGGTCCACACCGAGCTGTAGTGGAGGGATATATTCTTGTAGTTGCGTGGAAGTGCTGTTACCACCTAAACATTATATGACCCTAGAAGATATGCTGGAAATCCACGTACACACAAATATAATCCAGACCCAAGAGCAGGTTATGCTGGTGTCCCAAAATCACAAACTGCAAAAATACTTTGGCTATAAAATCTCATGTCCGAGACAACTCTCAGCACAGCTTGAGATTAAACAATGGTAAAATAACAACATGCTGAAAAATGCTAACTTGACTTAGCTTTAGTGGGTCAGCTGAAACTACATTCGGGCCTCAAACAAACTTTGGATGACATTTTTACAGAGAACAAGGACAGTGTATTTTGTCCCTCATTTTTTACAGCAACATGTGGAAATCCTCAGGGTCAGTGTGGGGAGTAGGTGAAGTTAGAACAACAGAGACCTATTTTCATGTAGACATGGGTACGTCAGTATTGTTTGAAGAATCCCAAACCCCTCCTCAAAGCATCATTAAAATAGCAGTAGTAAAATAATGTTTACATGGCTCATTTCCTGAGTGTTGTGTGTGTTTGAGAAACTTCAACATAAGTTATTTGCACATCTCCCTCAAGGTCGTAGGAGCTGCTCTGGATCTGTTCAAAGTCTGTCAACACTGGAGCCCAGAGAGAGTTTAAAGGCTACTGGTCACCCAGACCTGCCACGAAAACAAGCGATCCGCCGCAGGATGGATACATCAACCAGCAATGGCTACCAAAGACCTGGCTCAGTGTAGGTGTTTTAGAATGAATGCTGATATCAACTGCTCTGTAATAACATCTATGAAATCTTATCGTGTACTTGGGCCGACTAATAAATCAGATGGACAAGAGCAAGAGCACCCATCACCATCTGTAACCGTGTCTTTGTTGAGAACATTATTACGTTGTATTAGAAACAGATCTCCTGCTGAGAAAGCAATATATTTACAGTATATAAAGAACAATGTGTGCAGTATTATGCGCATAGCAAGATAATTATGTCAGTAAGGCTTGAAGACATAGATTCAGCAGCATTTCTTTCCCTCCTCTTCCCCTCCCTGAGTCATCAGCGTCCTCCTCATTCTGTTTAAGAGCATTAAGCATTGAGAGGCCTCCAAAATCAGATAACTATGTGTTAGGAGATTTATGTCTATTTCTCTCTGGTGGGAGCGCTGGCTTTAATTGCACTATGCTTGCTCAGGGGTTGATGTGACCCAGCAAGAGTCTACACTCTCACAGGAAAAATAGATTGCTTGGCTTGCCATGTCTGAGAAGCCAGTCACACGGTCTCTCTAGTAGTTTTCTTGTATAGCATCCAGCCAGCTTGCCATAGGCTCTATTGTCCTTTGACTCTGACATTCAGGGTCAAGTACAGCCTTGTTATATAGTTTAAATCAGTTCAGTACCACCTGGAGGAAGGAAATCTCCGATACTGTGTTGTAACACCTTTCACCTTGTTCTAAACAATGAGCAACGCTGGCAATGCTAAGAGAAAGTGTATAGATTGGTTTTGGACACAAAGGCCGGATAGGTGTGAATTTACAGTAGCTCTGAGGCGTCTTAGGATGGCACAGTCTACCAAACATTTAGATTTTTCAGCTGTTTATGTAGTTAGCTGTTGTTTTTCTTGTTGTTCCAGGGTTGCTGCCAGAGCACTGCTTTTTGAAAATGCCTCTTCACCACAGCCTGTTCCACTTGGAAGGTGCCATAAAACTTCATCTACAACACTAATCTAATTCATCCTACTCTAATCTCTTCAGATCTGCATTGACATTGCCTGTTTTTTGTTGTCTTTGTAGAGATGCCAAGGCGATGTATTCCTGTGAGGCGGAGCACAGCCACGAGCTCAGCTTCCCCCAGGGGGCACACTTCTCTAATGGTGAGTGGAGCTAGAACACGGGCAGGCCATTGTATAATTCAGCTGATAGTTTGTTGGAGAAGTGCTCACAACAGCACATGTCTCCTTGTAGGCTGATTGGATGTTGGAACAGTGTGCACATGCAGTCTGCTGTGTACTGGCAGCACACAGCAGAGACTTGGCTAATTCCTAGTGTTATGTAGAGGCATAAAATAAATTAGCTGTTAGCCTGACACCCTCATATGCATTGCTTAAATCCAGATCCACATTTTTTTTTTTTACACATTTCCTCTTGTCCTTTCCTTGAAGAGATGACTTGGCCCACAAACACTCCAGGCAGGTCACTGTAACCTAGTGATGCAAGGCACCAGTGAACACAGCAAACAGAGGAAGCAGCCAAACACAAGAACCTCAACAAACGCTCCCTTCCATTTATGAGCAAGCAGAACACTTTTATTGCTCTCCACATTTACAGGCCTTTTTCATCTACGTCCTGATTCAGCAGATCTTTGCCAGATTGTCTGAGCTGTGAGCTGAGTTTTTAAAGCTGCTCTTGTTCATCCATCTTGGTGCATCACAGCAATCATTAACCTTTTGTTTATGTTGTATGTGTGTGATTAAGGCAAAGCAATGCTGCTTTCAAGCCTGCTGAAATACCCTGTACACACTGGATTAGAAGAGCAATCTGACTGAGTCTTCCTCAGTTGGCTATAAATGTTAGCTTTTTATTCCTAGTAGTATTTTTGTAGCTTTGGTTTTGCCACTAATCAGCCTGAGAAATAATGTAACCAAATACAGGCTCAGTGAATCTGATCAGGTTTCACTAAATCAACAATATGTTCCTCTCTTCTCTTAACTCTCTTTTTGTTTTACAGTCTACCCCTCTATTGAACCAGGCTGGCTCCAAGCAACATACGAAGGAAAAACAGGTTTAATCCCTGAGAATTATGTTGTCTTCCACTAACAGGTGGTAAACATTGTTTGTTTGTTTTTTCACGGTATCCATTGGGGGGGTGAAAACTGCAAGATGCAGTTAATCGTTGTTGTAATGTTCCTGTTATTGCTGGTCGCAGACATTCCTGCAATTAATGCATTTCTAGCAGAAATGAAGCAGGTCAATAAGTATGATAGAAGTTTTCACAATGAAGTCATTACAGAAAAGGAGGTATATATTTTTGGACTATAATGTTAGGGGAATCTATAGCAATTGTGAATTTAATAAGAAATAGGTATGATGTTATTGCTTAAAGTAAATATATTAGCCATCGACTGCACTGATGTTTTTAGTGTCAGTATTACGGAATCGCAAAACAATCACTTCCCATTTCACAAGATTTATTCTCAGGAATATATTATCTTTTAACTTGCCATTAACACTCTCATCAGTGATAACGATAATCACTTTTATTGGCCAAGTATGTTGCACACACATGGAGTTTGTCTCCAGTACAGAAGGTAGCATCTGCAGCGCCAACTCACATACACACATACCGATGGCAGCTCTGTCCCTGCAAAGCGCTGCACTGGTCATCGGGAACAACTTAGGGTTCGACATGTGGTAGCTGGGGAAACACCATATAACGTTGCTGTGTACTTTACCACCGTGCTTCCCTTTCTGCTTCAGATCCCAAGGCAGGCAAGGCAAACAACTAGCCCTATTCAACTAGAGGCTGTTAATGGAAATCTGTACTTTCATAAACATATGGCATTATATGTAATTGATTCATCTGTGATTTAAAATGAGGTTATCAGTCTAGTCTACTAGAAAAGGCATAACATGTTTGCACCTTAGCTTCCATGTTTCTGGCCTGTGAGCACTGAACCTGCTCCCTGCTGCAGTGCACTTTCTGGTTAGCTATGCAATACTGTACATTAATGCTCATGTGTTCATCTGTAGATACTAATAAAAATATTTACTTCTTTAAGTGTGTAGTACTATAAATTATCACAAAATATATGCCATATGTAAGAATGCTTTTCTAATAATGTCATGAAAGCTACATTCATGAGGTGGAGCCTTTAATGCCAGCTGTGGTACTGTATTCACTGGTACACTGGTGTACTAGTACAGAGAACTAGACATATATCTGATTAAATTGTGTTAAAGATGCCATTTAATATTTAATTTCCTGTTACTTTCACAACATTTCCAAAATACAGACTCCATAATTATCTAAAAATGTAACTTCAGTAATAGTATTTCAGAAGATATTTTTTAAAACAAAGGGATTTCATTAAAAAAAAAGAATATAATAACTCTTTAAATGATGCAAATTAAATAATTACTTCACAGTTAGACTTTCTGTAGTGGCTGAAAAAAGTATTTAGGAAGGTATTTAAGATCTCACATTTGCCAAGATCAAGATGTTCTTTTCCATTTACAAAGTGAGGTGGCCTTTAACAGCAATACTGGAGGAATAATAATTTGCGGGGGCATATCACAGAAATGATATCCACATCCTGAATATGTAACATTTCATATGCTTTTTTTATATGGTAAGCTTGTTTCCTTGCAGTCATCTGCTGTGTCTTGAATGTGCCTAAACAGGTCTACAAATAAACAATGTGATTTATTAGGCCTGTGGTCCAAATATCTTTTCACAGATGGTGAAGTTAACTTGAGCTCATTGCAGTTAGGAGCTTTAAATTCAACATATAAAACAAAATCGGTATTGAGAATGTAGTTTAATTGTATTAACTGCTGGGGGAATGAAATACAGTTGAATTTGTGGGTCCCTACTTCTTGACATGGCTTTGTTTTTCTGTGAAAAAGCTATCAGACCGACAAGTAGTGTGTTTCTGCTCTAGTACAATGTAAGTTGCTTCACATCATAGCTAAATGAAAATGTGTTTTTATTGCACATTTTTATTACATTTGTCAAGTTAGTTTTTATGTCCCATTTGTCCATTTGTATGTTAGCTACAAAACGTGAAAAAACCTTAACTAACTTCAGTAGGATAGGATGTAAATTTCGACCAGAGGACAAGGAAGATGTGATTACTTGTTTGTAAAGATATAAACACTGTTCCAAAAGTTAAGAATTTCTTAATGCTGTGAAATTTTGATATTTTTTCTGTGAACTAACACTTGAGTTACATCTGCCACATGCATCCCATTAACATCTGTCTGTGTATTTTGACGTTAGTCTGGATACAGACTTTAAAATCCACATTCTGTTACTGTATAAAATAAAGGTCACAGGACATTGTGCAGTGTAGGCTGAGTTCTTTCTCATTCACTGAAGCTCACATGCAGTTTTTTAAAACATGTTTTAAAAATATTTATCTTCTGAGTTTCTCCTCCCAAAAGTCTCTGCTGATAATACTAAGAGTTTTATGTGTTTAAGTGGCAGGATTCTGTCTCTCCTGCAGTTCTCATTTATTAAGAATACAATCTTGGTGAGAAACACCAAATATTCTATTGTTTTTCATTTTGCAGCTTCTGTACAAAAAAATAGAGATTGTAAGTACCGTCTGTACACAAGTTGTAGGATGGGAAAAGGTCGATACAACAGAATCATACACAGGAGTTTACTTATTGATCCCTCTGAATTTATAATATTCGAGATAATTCTCTACTCGAAACATTTTTAAAGAACCTGTTCATTCTAGTTCACCTCATTAACAGCATTAGAGGCAATATGGCAAAGTATTAGTGAAGGCTAATAATAATCCAGTCACAATGTGTTTGCGCACAGTTGCGGTGTCTGTGCTGGCATCGTCACTTGGTGTGGAATAAGAGTGGCCTCACCATGCCCGCCAGGACCTTGGGAAGCTGGGAGGCAATGACCTCTGACATCATCGCTGGAAACTCCACTCTCATGGTCTCAGCCTGGAGGAAGGTGCTCAAACAATACAGGTTGACCTTTTTCACTATCTGTCAGAAGAAAGACATTCAGGTTTGTCTCGGTGAAGCAGCAGTTAGATCAAAGCACAAGAAGTACCTCTGTGGTACTCAGCTCTACAAGGGACCTTACTTCATGTATGGAGTCCAGCAGTTTGGTGAGGTGGTAGAATCGCTGTGAGCTGGCCACCACGCCCTTCTCCTTCATGTGGATCACTTTAGTCAGCTCATGGATGTAGCTTTGTCTCATCTCTTCAAATGCTGCCTGACTTTTGAGTCCCTCAAGAGGCACTGAGGGCAGACAGAACACTCATAAATTAAAAAAATAAATAAATTCTACAAACGTTTAGTACTTTAAAATGTTAAATGGTTATTCTGTTTTAAAAGCTAAACACATAGGACATGTAACGGACATTGTTTTTGAAATACCATGCTGCTAATAATAGTCATTATAAAACTACTAAAGAAATCTTGTCAAGATCGATTAACCCTGTACAGCACTTCCATTACTGTTCGACTCTAGTATCAAAGCATCACATTTTTCTGCAGCACTGTTTACTGAGTGTTTCTAATTCAAACAACATAAGGTAAACAACTGAGTCATCTAGTGTCTGCTTCAGGAAGTTCTCTTTACCTGTGTTGAGTAATATTATGGCTTTCATGCAGAGAAACTCCTCGCGAGTAACTTGAAGTTTTGCAAACTCCTGAGGGATAAGCTGTATTGCCATGCAGAGTTCATAAATTGGAGATCTCCTCATTTGGTCCCTGGCAGGCAAACATTTTAAACAGTTAATGACCTTAATGGCCTTTTCCATCCAAAATAGTTTCTTTGACAAAATAATGCATTAGTGTCAAGTCTACTACTCTCAATTATAAATGATAATGAATCAGAAGCCCACTCAAATTGACTGTGTGATAAGTGATACTTACTGATTAAGAACCAGATCAGGTGCGATGTATAAAAATTCACTGCTGACATTCTGAAAGGAGCGCCAGCCCAGAGAGAACACCATCAGGTTCATCCATGAGTACTGAATGAGGGTCATCTGATCGTTGATGTGAAGATTACGAAACCCTTAGAACAAAAATAAAACCTTGCATTAGAGAATATTTAATTTGTCAGCTTCTCGTTCCATTGTGATTTTTTTCTTTGTCGGTGGATACAACCTGTGTACCATCATATGCAGCAGTGCACCACATTGGTTTTCTAGTAATGTTGTGGCTAAGCTAACAGTTTTATTGCCAAAGATTTTATAATCTTTTGCATTTTAACATTTCTCATGACAACTGATCTTATATTATGTAGAATCACTTCTCTCATATCTGATATTCACGGCATTACAAAGCCTTCTGTCTTAGTCAGGATTTAATGCTGAGACCTTCAGGGAGACCTGCCAGTGGATCCTCGCGGCAGCAACATGGGTGACCCTGACCTGCAGAGAGCCGTTACCTGGCAGAGCCTTGGACCACTTGACAATGGACAGCAGCTGTTTCTCACACAGATGGTTGAGAGTGCTGAGCAGAAGATGGGGAACATCCGGCTGAGGGTTGTCATAACCAGAATGCACATCCTCTGGTTCAATGTTTTCCAGGATACCGACGATCTGTTGGTTGAGTTGTACCTCACAGATGCCTACTCTGCAAGGCATGGGATTCAGGGCCTGATTGTCACTGGACATGGCCAAGTGGGACTGGAACATCAGGGACGGGACCAAACCTAAGGCTTTCAGGGCCCCATAACGCTTCAGCTTCCTGCCTTTGATAAGTATATAAGGTGTGGTAAATGTAATGATGAAAAGCACAATTTAAACACATAAAACATCACAAAGCTTCAGTGGTTTTCTTTTCATGCCAAGTAAATTTACAACATAAGTGGTAAAATTGCTTAATGCTTTACTTTTGCTTTACTTTTAATACCTGTGCCTGCAAAGGATCCCATTAAATTTGAATTCACTGTTTCCTTTTTGATCTGATCAATTTGAAGCTTTTATACTAACCATTGTTTCAGAGTGTGACATGGAGCTACATAACCCAGCAGTTTCATGTTTGCTATCTGTGTGCTTCAGCTCTGTGCAAAAGGAAATCCAACAAATGGGAATTTTTCCTCCGGATTTTGTCCACAATGCAGTCATTTCGTCCTGCGCAGAGATAGCTATGATGGCCTGTTGAATAAATGGGTGCACAGAATTTTAAAAGAACTTGATTTTCAAATATATACAAAGGAGGTGAGGCACATAATGAAAAGGAAGAAGAGTTGAAGGGGCTCCTAACTATATTAGTATGTCTACTCCACTCCACTCCACAATGACACAGCCTTTTGAGAAGAGATCTAAGGAAGAAAATTAGATAAAGGCAAGGCTGTGAGGACAGAGTGACATGACCATGGTGAGACAGTGGCTTTTATATCGCACTGAAAGATAACAAGAAAAACAAGTCCAAGATGAAGAACACAGTGAACACTGGTCAATGTGATACTGTTGTTAATAGCCTTTAACGACTTCCATAGAAGGTCAGTCCAATTTGACGTGGTAACTCCCCTTCAATGTGTCACATCATTCACTGTAGATACCTGATATCAGAGATTACTATTTGGTTACAGGTTGTCTTTAGTGGGTTTTTTTTATCTTCTAGTTTCTCCAGAACAGTGACAAATAAAAATAAAATAAGTTAGTCTAGAAGGTGATTTATTTGCATGTACACTAAAAATCAACCATTTTTATCACGTAAACAGCGTGTATAGTGGTACTGTGTATAGCAACTACACATAAAAACAGAACAGAACAGGGGAAAATGAAAAACATCAACTGGCTTGAAACTGTTTGGGAATTCGCACTCAACAGTTTCATGTCTGTCTTTTCTCACCTTCAACTGCCCTTTTAAAAAAGACTTTACAGCTCCCACATGTTAAGACTCCATAGTGGCAACCAGATGCCTCGTCTCCACAGATCACACACTGTCTCTGAGGTGGCATACTGAAAAACAACAAAAGCACACAGTGATGAACGCCTCTGTGAACTAAAGACAATAAAAAATGCAATCAGGTCCAGTCTATCTTTAAGCATGTTTTAAACCACAACTTCCCTTAAACATATCATTTGATTGTGAAATGTATAGAGCATGGAATAAAGAGCATTAAGGGTTTAAACATCTGCTCCTGATTCTTATAAAACCAACAGCAAAAACAAAATGTTTTAATTGTGCTATCTGTTCTTAAATGAATGATTATCTTGCCTAACCATTGACTGAATTAAAAGCTAACTTAAGGGGCCTTTTGCCACATTTGCAAAGTAAGATAAAGACAGGGAATCTTAAAGACCTTTTATATTAAACCATTTTTCAAGGATTTTCTGCTCAAAGCAACAACTCAAAACAACTTTTTCAGAGGAAAACCAAGGAGGCAAAGATTTGTTTTGTATGTGGTTGTTTCAGATGGCATAAATTAGTTCTTGTTTTGTTCTCAGAAATAACTTAATTGACTCACAAACCTCTTATTGTTGTGCACTGGCAAAAATCCTCACTTGTGATTCTACCTTTTACCTCCAGCTGTGTCACAAACATAACCTATTCCAAACTTGCATCCAAAGTTGTCAAATTCAACGTTTATGTGTGATCAGTGGGATCAGTTAGATAGTAATAATTACCTGGGGAATACGGAGAAGGGTGATGGGTTCTTCTGACACAGGGACAGGCTCTGGAGCCCATCGTATCCGCTGGATGTGAACGGGGTCTCGGGTACCACCGCGGTCTGGCACCAGTACTGAGGATCAGACGGAGACGTCTGCATCTGCCAGCGAGAAGCCTCGTTCTTGTACACTGTCAGTTGCGAGTGTGCGTGTGTTTTGCTATCAAAGTTCATGACAGCTTTCCCGGACAAATTAGTCCTCACCTGGCCCGGTAGATGTTCAGACTGGTTCAGGTCGATCAGGAAGTTTGGCGAACCCTCCAGCCCCGGCCCTGCCACTGACTGCATGAAGTTTGACGGCTCTCCATCACTCAGCCCCAGCTGCTGCTTCAGGTCAGTGTCACAGCAGGCGCCGAGAGCAGGTATTTCCGATGATGGATCAAAACTGGGACAGTGGGTGTCCATAATCATAGAAGGCTCGTTTTCGTCTTTGATGAATTTGCATGCTCCGGTAGTCGTGGAGAGGCTTAAACTTTCGCCTGGTAAACTGGCGGATGTAGCCACATTCGTTCTCTGAGCTTTTACTAAATCTTCCCATGGCACACCGTCACATTTCAGATGCTCACCACTACGATCATAAAACTGTTTGACAGGTAGTGAGCCATCTGGTATGTTACAGTCTTTGAAAACTGCGCCGTCACCGCTTGAAGTTAGACCGTGGATCAGGGTGTCGGCGTTTCCAAAATTACGCACAGAGGAGGCTGCACAAGGTAGAGAATGTGACTCGGTGGGCAACTTAGTATTACTGTACCCAGCTTCAATCAAGTCACTTACTCTTGTAGCAGTAGAATCAGCGATCGAAGTACTGATGGCGCCCATCCTTCCGTTTATCTTATTCTCCATTTTCTGAACCGTGAAGCGCACACAGCAGAGACTGGAGTGCGCCCAGAGGCTGGACAGTGTGTGATAAGTTGTGGCTCAGAGACCTTTCCTGTAATCCTCCTCCCCGTCGAGAAGGGCTGTGCCTTCACCTTTCCTTCACATAGAAGACTGTTCCATTTGAAATGTAAGACCAACTTGTTTATGATGAGGATGAAGTTAAATTAAATCGAGCACTTTCATAAAATAATCCTGGTATGTATGAGTAACTTACAAGTATAGTTCCTTGTGCTCATGGGTGTCATGTTTGAAAGATGCTCATTTCCTTTTCCACAGATTTCCAGTTGGTTTCCTTGTTCAGAGTAAGTGGCCAACCTTCCAAAGGATACCGGGGGAAGAATCCAAGCAAAGGCATAGTAGAGAAATCTCTCACTGTTGCACTATCTTTACAAGAAACCAACCACTAAAAAGGCCAGCCAATGGGGAGATGAGAATAAATCACACATTGCCAAGGGCCATTAGTCTCCACCCTGCTGTTCATGAATGAGGTACACCATGTATCATTCCTGTATCAGACCAGACAATATGTGCCTTTAGAATGTGATGCAGTCACATTACAGTCATTTCACTAAGTTAATAATTAGCAGCATGTTCATCTATTCTGAAAGCCAAGACCCAATATTATGTTGTGGGAGGGTCGGGACAAAATCCAGACATCAGTCCAGACATCAGTCAATCAAAATGGCAGTGAGCTGTTTGTGCCAGGCCTGTAATACATTTACTGTATGTCTGACTTGTATCTGACTTTGTTTTGTTTTCTGAAAAAGAGAATTCTTAATGTTTCTGTTAGTTTCATTTCAGATCTTTTCCATTTTAAACAGATGCAACTGTTTGGTAGTCCTCATAACAGCACCCTTTCCTCCTTTGCACTTGTCTAATTTACAGTTTTGTTATCCTAGTAGATACTACTGTGTTTACTATTCAAATTAATCAAAGATGGATATTGCTGGTGCACGTAGTTATGATGCACACACAGGCCTTGGCCCTATCTCCTGCGTCATGTGTTGGAGGGGAGAGGGATTCTCAGGCTTTGGCCGACATAACTCTTAGATAGCTTTCATATTTATATCTACGTGATGTGTTTTTCAAATGCTGTAATTTCAGACGAGACTTTAATCTGGAATTGTGGCGGTGTTGACTCATGGTGACTACCGACGGCCTTCGGTTTTTTTTGTGTAGCAATCTTGATCAAATTTCAAATATTTCAGACACATAGGACAAATGCATTTTACTGGGCCACATGATGACAAGCTTATACAAAGAGTTTTGTGTTTATTTGATCAGTGGTGCTAATACGAGTGTCTCTCACTTTACCTTGGTATAAATGCTTCACAGTAGCTCTGTTCAGGAACTTGACAGCTAAGGTTTGGTTCTAACTTTTACTCTCATGGCCTGACTGTAGGCGGAGGCATGTCGTTTGTCTATTTGACAGGTCAGACTGTACCCAGACATTTTTCTTGTTTCACAGCAAAGAAGAGAGAACACAACAGCATCTGCTGCAATAATTTACCAGCAGTAAAGGCAGATTGATTTATAAAAGTTAATAAAGTTCTTCAGCAAAGTACTTATCAGAATATTTTCATTTACTTTTATTTTGTCTGCCACCGAACATATGCTTATTTCTTATCTGAGCTTTCTACTTAAGATGAAAAAGTCTCCCCTAAATCAAACCATATAAACAGCTGGCAACAGGCAGCACCATCATACTGTAAGCTAGCAGTTAGTGGAGCCTGTGTCCCGGGGGAAATAATCCCGTTAGTGCCACCATGTGGGTAACTGTGTAGATACAGGGACAAGAACAACGAGTTTGATGCCTGAGGGCCATTTGATACTGAATACATCAATAATGAGAAGAGCGTGGTGTGTTTGGTAATAGTTACATTTTTCTGAAAGTATAGCTAGCTCCTGTTTGTGCTCTCATTTCTGCTGAACGTGCATGCTTTCTCCCATTTCCCTGATGACGTCTGCCAGCGTCTCCATGTCAAGGTTCCCTCTCTCCAGCAGTTCGAAGCGGAGACTGGAGATATCCTGCTTGATCTCTTTCAGTTCCCCTGTCAGTAAGTAAATCAGTGTCACATTGTGTTTATAATTTGTTGATCCAGACATGAAAATCGTTGTAACCAGAAAACCTCATGAAATTACCTTCATTCATGTCATAATTGCTTTTATTTCTTTGTGCTTTTAAGATGTATCTTTTGATGAGGCGATTCATTATCATCTGTAATTAAGAGTAAAAGATTTGAGAATTAAACTGAGCTAATTCTACTTAAAAATTCAGAGATAGTTGAGGGAAAAGAAAAGCATCTGGCATCTTGATCAAAGAGCATGTTTGATTATACAGTAATTGGCTTTGACTGACTTGCTTGAAATGTCATTTGTGTCATATTGGTACATGTATGCATAGCATGAATATCCTAATATGTCTTCTAGATATGAGGTCAAATAAACTGTATTCAAGAAAAACAATTTGCTGTAAACTCAACAGTTCAATTATTAGCAGATTAATAAAAGAACATAAAAACTGCTGTACTTGGTAATGGGTTGGACAAACTGACGATCCCATCAGATCTTCCTGTTCTCTCAACTAAGATTAGAAACAACAAAAAGGGGGAGACAAACTGTTAATATTTATTTTAAAACTTGCTTTTATGAGGCCTACTTATCTGCAATTTCTAAATGTGACACAAGAGGGCCCTGTAAACATATATCAAAGAATATTTGTTAACCTTTTCAGATGAATTTCAATTGTCTATAGCCATTTATTAATCAAGAAAATTATTTTGGTAATTTTCTTGATTAAAATGTAATCTGTGTCAGTAGCAGGTGCCTTGCCTTATTAAATTCCATGTCATCATTTGAGTTTTCTTTGCTTTTGCTTTGAGGTACTTCCCAGAGAAATTCCCTAATCCCCAGCAAGAGGGATGTGACAGACTTGGGACTGGGTACGAGGTTGAAGGGCACGGGCAATGTGCCGCCATGCTCAAAGTATGAGAACCAGAGCTTTGCCCTGGCGAATTTCCACTCAACATCAGCATCATCCTGCATCAACACAGAAGAAATCGTAAGAAGGGGTAAGAGCCAGGGAAAACATTTGATGAGCAACAAGTGAATATTCCACCTACTTATGTACTTTTCTTTCTTATTGTGTAACTTACATATACAGCTGGTACAACCAATTCAACAAAATGTTATTATCAGCACTGACAGTATGCAAAACAGAAAACTGAATACTAATTTACAAATATGGATGTTAAGACATACCTCAATTTCTTGGAAGGAGCTGTTGAACATGGCAATGAGCATATTCAGCAAGACAATTACCATGATGATGTTGTACAGCCCATACAGAACATAGCCAGTGTTCTCTATGAACTTATGGTCGATGTTAATGACCACTGACTTCACTTCTGACAGGCCAAAGATGGCCCAAAATAATGTTTTAAAGCTCTCCTCAAGCCTGGAGGAATGGAGAAGAGGAATTAAATTAGTACAGTGCAACCCATGTGTTTGTCTTACATCATACTAATTAAACACATATTGTACCCAGATGTACAACTGTCCAAGCTTTTTCAGGCAAGCAATATTGCAACAGTCTATAATGGACACTCACGTTGTAAATGCATGGTTGTGCTTGGCTCCGAAGTAGGACGAGTACAGATTGAACATTCCCACCATGAAAGCCACAAAAACTGTTATAAAAAGCACCATGAACTTAAAGATGTCTTTCACTGTTCTTCCCAGAGAAATCTGCAAAGGGCCGAAGCTCTCATTGGCAGGCAAGATGTATGCTATGCGAGAGAAACTCAGTACAACTGCAACTGCATAGAGGCCTTCAGAAATGAGCTGTGGGTCTGAGGGCATCCAGTTGATTCGAGCTGAAAATGAACAAACGTTAAATGAGAACAGCTTTTCATGCGGTAAGTATTCACCCTATGTATATCACTGCCTGTGTCCTAATTCACAGAACTAAAACTGGCCTGGTGTGGTTTCACAATTATTCTGCCAGAAAATCAAGCAGTGAAAAAGGCTGTCATAAAAGGTTATAAAACTTTTTGCTCTGGCTTTCTTGTGCTAGGCTGTTTATTCATTTCTTTGGTCCCCACTTACCCAGCTGGAAATACTGGATCTCAAAGGGCAAGGTCATGTTGGTCGGGTCAGTGTAGTGCTTGTTAACATAACACTGGGCAGAATGTGCATGCCAGAAAGCCATTAATCTGGCTATGAATGAAGACATAAACATGGCCAAAATACTAAAGTCCAGAAGGTTCCAGGGTTCTGAGATGTACTCCTGGATGTCCTGTGACCAAATGTCTTCACATTCTTCCCAGATCTTCCCTGCAGGAAAAATAAATAAAGTATTTGTGATATGGCTGCAAAGTCTTCCCTGTAGAAATAAGTGAAACTGTCAAATATGTTATGGTTAGTTTGATGGTATACAGGAATTGGGTGCAGGGGAGGGGAAAGCATCTTTATACTCATGACCTATGACCCAGGATATGATGAGAATCTCCATCCAAGTGAAGGGGGTGGTCTTCATACGAAACAACTGTAAAGGGTGATCGCGGGTGGTCATGTTAGGTAGAAGCGATGTTCCCTCGAAGCGGTCTGCTGTGTTCAGGATCAGTAGGCAAAGAAATGTCATAAAGGAAGCTGCATGGGCCACAAACTTCAGGAAAGGTCCACACATGAGTTTCCCTAACTGTGAGGAGTTGGGGCAGAGCAAACACAACAAATGTAGCATTATTCTGAGCTACAATAGGCTTTCAAAATCGACTTAACATGTTGTGGGTACAGGCTGACAGAATCATCTTTACGCAGTGAAAGGGTTGAAACATAACATCAAAACATTACATTCTCTTCTATATATCAGGATAGTGAAACACAAAATAACCAACAGTGATTTAACTAATTATCCAAACCAGAGGAGTAAACACAGGTCTGAGGGAGTTTTATGACATTTTCTTCTTTAATTGGAACATGAAATAACAAGTTTAGAAGAAAGGACATAGAACATAAGACAACAAACATTTACAAGTGAGATAAAGGGATTTTTACACTTCGTTTGTATGTGTGTGAAGGTGTGTATTGTGGGTGTATCCAAGTCTATGCTGTCTGATATTCAGTATATATTAAAGAAAAATAACATTAAACAAAATAATTAGTAAATTAAATTGCCTAATAAACAAACACAGAGCAACACTTTAGCTGTTTTATAAAAGACAATGCAGAATCTAACTATTAAGTTTAAACTATGTTTTGCAACTAACCTTACTTGATGGTGCTATCCAGTGTGTAAAGGCCAGGACAGGCAACCCAACAGCTACACCAAGGGCGAGAAGGATTTTAACTGCAGTGGACTGCTGACGTAGCCCAGGCAAGTTCTCGTACCAGATGGAGAGGAGCTGCTGCTGGCAGGTCGGATGTGCCACAAACTGCTCCATTTTGTTTGTTTGTGTGTACGTGAGTAAGAGAGAGTGAGAGAGAGAGAGAGAGAGATGACATATTTCATACTGAAACACAAACTATAAAGTGCGTTGCTCACACGCTTACCTTTTTTATGTCATATTTTATTGCAAGTTTTAACCTGAGAAGGTTTTGTCTGTCAAAGGTTTCAGAGCTTTGGCATGATTCGGTGTCCCCATTTAGGATGGCCTCCACCTCCTCTGTGTTTCGACACAAATCCAGGAGTCCCACCACAAAGTCTTTGCACTGCATGGACAGTTTCTTGTAATCATTCTGTAACAAAGAAAGTCAACAAACGATCCTCAAATCCAGTCATAACTGCAGTTTGCAATCTTTTGATCAATATAACATATAGCTATCATCTCTACTTTTTGCAAAAATCGGGCATATTTTAAATGAAATACTACACCTTAAACTCTTCCTCGGTATTGGCCAGACGTGCAAGCTCGTTGCTGAGCTCCAGAGCTGCCGTCATAGGGTCTTCGTTAGAGAGGGACAGATACGCAGGACTGGCCAGTCCTTTATATGCATTAATGCGGGACTGTGAGTGTCTAAAAGAGTCATACCTCTGCTGCTTACTGCAAGTTCTGCACTGACAGAAGGGGTCATGGGGCCGCTCTATACGGGCCCCCTTCATAAGAAGTATATTCACGATTTCATACTCATGGCACTGGGAAGCCAGGATGATGGGAGTGATGTCGTGGGAGAAATGTGTGCCATCCTCATCATAGGCAAAGAAGTCATCATGTGTCTCTGCCTGGCTAGGACTACTAGTCAGCCTCTGACCGTCTGCAAAGGCCTGGTGGCTCAGGATGGCTTCTACTATAAGGATGTAGCCTTTACTGATGGCTAACAGCAAAGCATCACCTATTCTGCCGATGCCTTTCTTCCTAAGTAGGAGCTTAGTCACCTCTAAATGCTCATTGGCAACTGCCAGCTGCAGTGCATTCTGGTCCATATAATTTACACAGTTGACATTGAGGTCAGGCAGTTCGTCTAGCATCCTCCTCACTTCAGGAATGTTACCATATTCTGCGGCATCTAAGAAAAGTTCCTCTGTCATGGAAAGGCAGGAGGTGGACTGGGCATGAAACAGGAAACCAGCTCCCCGTACAGCTTGTCGCTGGGGTTTGGCCAGGACCTCCCGCAGCATCATGGCTTTCCCTTCACTGCTCCATCTAAACACAGGTCAACATATTATGGATGAAATCATATTATTATCATATGACTGTAAAACTACAGAGTGCACCTTTGTAGAATTATTAATGCAAGCCAAATTACTTAATATTCACTCCACAATCTAAATCATAAGTAAAAATAATTTCTTTCTATGCAGACTTTAATGAGTCTATTAGTTTGGATATATGAAGATCAGCTCCATCTAAAGTTCCAAAAAGGTAATGGGAATGAAACAGCAGTGACCTAAGCAGTGAAAAAACAATGTGCATTGGACAGCTGGTCACAGCTGATTTATAAGTCACACTGCATGTGTGACGCCACCCACAGGCTCATCATCTGCTTCCCTTTATTTCATGGCCTGGCACTGCGCATCCGCTCAGCCTCTGCTTGACAGTTGGCCAAACTTATTTTGCCATTCAATGTGTGATTGTGGTGAATTTCTTACTGATTAAACTATGATGTTAACTCCATTCATTAGACTGTGATCATATTATTATAAGACAGTGGCTATTTTTTATGTTTTGTGTCCTTGTCAAAGGAGTAAATCTACTTTATGTTCAGTAATTACATTTGAATAACATGGTTATCTCCAGACCTAAGTGCATCAGCTCACATAAAAACACATGACAATGTCCCTTCATGCAATTATAATTAGATTTAACATAACTGAGCAATCTGATGAGCACACACAGTGTCTGAGTTTTTTATTAGCTGAAATAAAATAAAAATACTCATACTGTTCAACTGTGCAAGGTGAGAAAATCCTAAGTAAATTAGAATAAATAATTTTCTGTAGTTTTTTTTTTGTTTTTCTTTTTTGTTTTGTTTTGTTTTTTGTCTGAAATTGGGATGTGACTCATAAATAGTGGCAAATCACTGATAATTCGGAGATGTATCTTTAAAAAGCCGCTGCTGTGGCAGCATGACAACATGATAAATTGCAAAACTGGCAGTAACATCAGCACTTTATTGGTGCACCATATGATAGGTAAGATTCTCTGACACTAACACATTTCTAGTAACTAAAAATTACTCTATTCCCTTAACATGGATTGAAGAAGACATCAATGCATGCATGTCATAAAGAGGTGACAGGAGATTCAACAAATGACATAATGCAGAATGAGATCACGGCATCCTAGTCTCTGTTGGTCCTTGTAGGAATATTATGGACCTGAAGCTTTTTCTTGCAAGAACTTTCCTCACATTTCTAAATCGTTTTCTGGAATTAAGGCAGGGAATTTCATCTTCTTCGATATATAGGGTATATAGTCAATATTTCACAGCAATTAAAAAGTGCTATAGGTTATATCCACTCACCTCAAAGACCTCCAACCGACTTAACTGTATTAAAAAGTCGTTCTGACCCAAATCAACGTCCAAAAGCAACCAGTTTAACCATATATATACCGAGTCATGTCAGCCTCTGGTCCACACTGCCTCTCAGACAGTGTCCCACCGTGGGTCCTGATGCTGATGGCACTGCCTTTGCCCGCCCATGGGCGGTTATCTAGCAGCTTTTGAATGTTTTGTAATGTAGGTTATTATTTGTTGAATACATTTGGGCTATGTTTCGGAGATGATAACTATTTTAATATCCTTTTTCATAATTGTGCCCAAATGGTAATGTATTAAAGCACTTGGTCACACTAATACGGACTGAAAAGGAACTCTGCCGTAGAAGAACTATTTGTAATTCTCGGTACACAGGCTGCGCAGACAACAGCACCATTAATACGTATAATAATATGTATAACATGTGGTGTTTGACAAGCTGAAAATAGATTAATGGTGCAGTGGACCCCATGAGAGGAGCGCATATACATACATTTAGGAAAAATCATCTCAACTCACGGTGCCATTAAATGTAACACGTATTAACGACTCACCTTTGGGCTATATTTTATGAGGCAGCCCAGAGCATAAGCTATGCATAAATAACTGTGTAGACAAACTGCCTTCCAAATATTGAAATTTAATTAATAGGCTACGAATGTATGTATGTGCCGATTCAAATCTCATTGACCACCAAAGAAATTTTTTAAATTATACAATTTAAACCCCTGATATTTAATAAACCTGTTAAAAAGTCCTTTCATGCAGCCTACGCACTATTGTCCCAGTCCTTACGTTACGTAGGCTACCTGAACGTAGCACGCCTTTATTAAGCCTTACGCCCTCTGCTGGACAAGGTGGGTATGACCACCAGGGTCCCCGTCGTCATGGAACTGCGTCCTCGGTTGCTATCATGGAGGAATTGTGCACAAACAAACTCGGGTGAAGCAGCTAGAAAAGTGTGTTACACCTTTTAAAAGACAAAAGAGACTGTGATTCTTCTGGAGACGTTGTTACAAAGTAGATTCGAACATTTCCTTTGCAAGTTAAGCTTCGCCCTGAAAATGGTTGAATACTTTACCGCGGAGCACCGGTGACGTTAGCAGCTAGAAGCTTTGCTAGGAGCTGAACCTGTATGTCTCCTCGGTATCAGCTGTGGCATGCAGGTGCTTCGGGACAACGTCGCCTACCACTCGTATCCTACGCACATTTAGCATAGTTATTTATCCTGTTATAGAGCCGTGTACCGTTAGTGCACGTCTGTGCTAAAGTAAATGTACAGATGCAATTCAGTCAACCTGGGAATCACTAATAACAAAATGGCTAGTTGTGTTGGGGAAGCTACCAAATTACTTTACACTTGAAGAAGATGAACTACATCTAAATCTAGTTTGGTTAATTAAAACTACTTAGAAAAATGTAGCTCAAACTACTTTGCAAAAAAAAATGTACATGTGATACAAGGACAAACTTCTACTGTCTGACTAGAACTAAAACAGTAAAGAAAACATCTGTTTAACTCATATCTTTTTGTTGCGTTTGACCAACTGATCTAAAACAAATGACTAGCCTGTATAATATATATGAGGATGCAAAAGGGTTTTATTCATTCAAGTCCAAAGTTCCACTGGTGCATATCTCCATACTGCCATATGAAACTGTTAAACTGGTTGCCATATGAAACTGTTCTCCTTAGCTGCTCATGTCCAGAAATGTGAAGTTGGGAGCTGAAATTGGCTTCTACGATGAGAGACAACTTTTGGTTGAAGAGCAGAAGCTGTGTAAAGTCCGAGCTCGTGTGTTTTCTGCGGAAACCAACCGACGGAGGAGGTCAGTGGTAGTCTTTAATAATTATTCATTGTGCATTTCAATCATGCATTTTAGCACTCTCAGGTCTGTGTCCTCTCAGATCAAACTACTGTCTGCACTCTGTGTCCCAGACCTGTTCTATGGAAGGTAGACTCCATCTTTCCTGGAAGCAGCTACCACATGATGATTTGCTGCCATACAGTAGACGCTATAGGCCTCCTGCAGAGACAGTTTATGATACCATCCTGGGATTAGCACCTCTGAGGGATGGACGGCGTTGACAGCGTTATGCAGTCTAGTCCTGAAAATAGATCTGAGGTTAACTGTGGGCCAGAGCAGTGAGTGAAGTGTCCCTGGTCTAAAGCTGCCAAATTCAGCACCATATGAGGCTCATATCCCTTACAGATATTAATATCCTCTAAATTTGTGTTTTTATAGTTATAGCTAAGGCTGACAGTTAGTGTTCCTGCTTATAAACTAAGAGCTTGACAGAGTAGGATAATGCAACGCTACATGCAGGTGAAGGTCAGAATTAATGTGTAATATCACAGACAAATTTCAGTTTCACAAAGGCAACTGGTCAGTGTTTCTTAACCACAGAGTAGGTCAACAGTTAAACAGTCGAACACATCTGTATAAGGAAAAACACCACTGGTCTTTTAAAGGAGAGACAAATGAAAGGAGGCGTCACGTTACATGAAGTTAAAGTTGACACTGCATCATGAATGAAAACTTTATGCCCTGATCAAACTTGTACAGGCTATCAGAGTATATAAAACACCAGTAAGTACAAATTTAATCTATTCATAGTTGTGTTTGCCTTCCTATCATTCAAAACGCTGGAGTTCCAAACTTTGCAGTCCTGATGCATATATACATAACTATATTAGAGACTGGATATGAAATAATAGAGATTGTTTTTATTTTTAGTGGAACAGAAATATGTTAACTAAAATCATGAACTACTTTTTGTTCTGGTTCTCAAAATGTTTTAAAAATGAACGGTGCTTTTGTTGTTACCTTTTTGGCTATTTAAACAAAAAAACATGACTTGGTTGATCCTCCTGATGTTGTCATCAGGTTTCTCCGTGAACAAAGGAATGTGAGCGGTGGCTGTTATTTATTAATGACTGTGTTGAAAACACAGGGACAGACTCAGGTTTCAGTATCTAAAACATGGCCAGTCTAGATCGGATCAGTTAAACTGTGCCCTGCTCTGTTTCACGGCTCAGGGCTCTGGAGGAAAGACAGAAGCAGTGGCATGTGCAGGAGCAACGGCAGAGAGAGAACGTCCTACAGCAACGCAGACAGCGAGTACAGGATGCAACGGAGCGCTTTCAAAGAGCCCATCTACCTCCTTCTCAGAGACGCAGACAATGTTAGTGATGTAGCTTACATATGCCTCTTAACTCTGAAATATAACACGCACCGGTGTCGACACATTGCTCTTTGATTGTATGTTGTCCTTTATGGTGTTTTAGCTTTTAGAAGAGCTGCCCCGAATATTGAAGATGCACTCAATCAAATCCAAAGCACGTTGAGTTCACACCCCCAGCAGTCCTCTTTCTTGTCCGGGAACTGTAGCGTTGGCAGGTAAAAACATCAGATTAACTATTGTAGTGTTCTCGGGTGAACTACATAATAAAAATCACTGTTGTTGGATTAAAACCTTAAAATGTCATTGCAGATTGTGGTCATGCTGTATTTTTGTTATTCAGTTTTACTTTGTAATAGATTTTATGTGTAGCTTTTTACTGGCTGGAGAGTAAAATCGTCACACATTTGATTTATATTGCTCTGTTTTCTCTTGAAGAAGCTGCACCCCCTCTCCTAAGCCTCCCACAGTTTCTAATTCCTCCCAGCGCCGAGCACTGTCTGCTGTGGAGGCCTACACTGACCTGCTCCAGGATCGGAGCGTGATTTGCTTCAGGAACAGTCAAGAAACTGGAAAAATACAAGAGAAGCAACAAGATGACAGTTCACAGGTATTTTGGTTACTTGTTTTGAATGTGCAGAGGTTTTGACTAGAAGTATGACAGCATGACAGCACCTCTCTTAAAATAACCATGGACATGGTCAGAAGAGAACAGTTCATTAGACCTAAAATGGAAAGACAAGTCGGCAAAGTAGTTAACATTAAATATTGGGGTAACACTTAACTTGTCATTTGAAATTTTATGTGAAATGTATCTCTGTGTTTAGTATATTTTCTTACCTGGGTAGACCCGTAGAGGGCAGCAGTGTGTCAGGATCCCTTCCCTGCACCAGTAACACTCCTCTTGGCTGTTGTTTGTTTCAAACTTTTTGTCCTCCAGGGACACCAAAGCCAAAATCTCAAGGCACACCTGCATTCATGTCCATAGAAAATAGCCTCTATACCATACGTTATCAGCCTTGTCACTGTACAAACGTTCATTTCTATTTATTTATGACAAATAAAATGAGTGAGTGAGAGAGGACGGGTAGATCTGGCATGAGAGGGAGGCATCAAGATGTAATCACTCCTTACAGACCAAACTAAAAAGTCTGGACTTAGCATGACACCTGCAATTTATGCAGGGTGGGAGGATGAGCGTCTCCACCACCGTGTGAGGTTTTCATACAATCCCACAACAACCCAGCAAATGTACGAAACACCTACGCGATCAATTTTAACTGCTTTTGTGTTTCCGGTGATAGAATTTTCATCATGAACTTAAATGGTGCTGCACAGTTTAGGTGTGTTTACTGTCAATGAAAACTCCTTTTGAAAGAATTATAACAAGCAAAAATGAGACTTCACAGACTTTTCACCTTTGGGAAAATGTCAGTAATATTATTAGAATTGTTATTATGTTTTATTCATCACCTCTCTTTTGTGTTTGTGTTTCAGGACAGCAACCTGTCTGACTGTAATTCTGAAATTCTTTCAAGTAAGGATAGTTTGGAGAATGAGGAGCCCAACCCCGGTACAAAAAATCTACAGTGTTCCAATTCATCGTTCTCACTTAACTCAATGAAATCCCATCCAGACCCGAGAAAGCAAAGTGATTTGTATCCAACCTCAGACCTAATCTTCTCAGCGTGTCTTGGTGATAACTTACTCCAATCAGGAAAGCTACATGAACCTGAACAGAACAAACAAGCCGAGACTGAAAGGCCCAACAACAAGATGCACTGGGGGTTCACAGCTGAGCAAAAGTCTAGAACAGAGACTCAGCCTGCACTGAACAACTGCAACTTATTAACTTTTTGTGAAGTTTTTAATGCGTACCCAGAGGACTTTGAGAGAAACTTCCCACAAAACAGTCCCAGTGACAAGCTAATTGTTACGAATAGAGTAAAACCTGGCAGCACAGTTCTTGAGTCTTCATGTCCCAAACAAGAGGCTCTGTTCCATCCCAGACACCAGACAGTCCCTGATGACAGACAGTTAAGACATCCATCAGCTACAGCAGCTCCGTTGCCTTCCAAAAACAGCAACAGTAAAGACATTTTGTTTGGAGCTCCTGCAAAACCAAATATTTCCTTGAACAACAGCACAACCTATAATGGCTCACAAGCAGGAACTCTACAGCAAACAGGGAAACAAAACCACTATCTGTCATCCCGTAAAGAACCTAGTGTTTCCATAAACAACCTCAATAAAGTTTCAAACTCAGAGCCCAAAACTGAGAAGCCCATAAACACGGCACAGCTGCAACACACATGCTTGTCTAACATTCATTCAGACTGTCTGAGGTGCCTCCACTGTCCTGAGGAAAGACAAACACCACATTCAGTATGTACAGTCAGATACGTTAAAGGAATCCTTAAAAAGCAGCCCAAATATATGTCAGGAGATACTAAATGCATGTACGGCTCAAGGCATGTCATTTTTGGAAACCAAGTAGCTTTTGAGATCAGAGATAGTGTTGAACTGACAAGGGCTAAAACTAAGGATGTGGAGGGTGACAACCTCATCAAAAAGAAGCTGCGCTGGTTTGATGAGGTACATGAAGAAGAAGAGGACAAAGAATATAACATTATGAAACAGATGAAAGACATGTCTTCCAGTCTTTCTCAGTCAAAGAACAACTCAGAGGACCACCAACTAAGTGTCACTACAGTCTCAGGGGTTTCCAAGCCAGGACCCATCATGACCCCTGCAGCCTCCACTGGTTATCACTTTACAAAGCAAGCGTGGGCAGATGTCGGGGTTCAAGTCAGCTTGCCCCACGAACAAGCAGATGAAGTCAAGGTGCCGCGGACCGGTGGCCCCAAGGTCCCTCGGAGAGAGCGCTCTGCTAGAGTCGGAGCAGGTCCTGTTTCCTCTCAGAGTAGAAAGGGTCTTGTCATACGACCTCAATCTGCCACCGCGGTGAGTCAGATTGCCAAAACCCAGGGGAAGCTCATGGTGCCCCGCCCACCTCCACGGATGGAATCAGTGGAAGAAAAGATGGTGAACACCACTAAGACTCCATATGGCACGGATCATGCTAGTGTCAACTGTAAACAAGCTGTGGCTGTAGAGCAGTTTCTGCACAAGGACAATTCAGAAGGCTTTTTCTCACCTTACACACACGTAGTCAGAACAAACAGCACTGTTCCATACACACCACTGCCACCCTCGTATGCATTCCCCGTCTCAGAGGGCAGCACAAAGGGCATGCCCAGCTCAGGTCCTCAGCACACTCATGGCTGCAGTAGAAGAAGAGGGATGGTGTTCAGTGAAAAAGGCCTGTGTTTAGATTACACTCCCACAGATGAGGAGATCTCACAGCTGTGGGATAGTGTCCGCAGCGCCTTAGCCACCAAGGATGGTAAAGTATATTTTGGTTGACAGCCTTTCACACTGTTTAGGCTTGGTTTGTTTGTTTACGTATGATTTATCCTTAATATACAATTACAATCCCAGTGACCTTTTGATTTTGCCCTTTTATCTGTAATTGTCCACACAGAGTGCATTCACATTGAATGAGCTGTATCGTGTTTGTGTGACTGCCAGTTTGCAAAGTTGTGTAAGAGTCCCAGGATATCTCTTTTCACCTGGGAACCAGTTTTTATCATTTTCATCAATATGCAATTCCTTCTTTGGCAATTAGTGTTTACCGCTTTTTATGAGTTACTGATTTGTTGGAATTGATCCACATTATAACTGGCAAACTGTTCTTTCTGTGAAGCTGAAAACTTTATTATTTATCTAAAACCATGTGACCTGTGATATTCTTAACAGCCTCTTCTACTGGTGAGATCAAATGCAGGTCGTCCCTTAACCATAGAGATGGTGATTCGATCCCCGCTTCTCCAGTCCACATGTCAAAGTGTCCTTGGGCAAGACACTGAGCCCCAGTAAAATGTTATTAAATGGTATCTTTTGTATTTTAGGTCACACACTGGTCTACTTTGGTCAGGTTTGCTTTCTCAGTCAGTTTCACTGACCTTGGAGTCAGTCAGTGTATGTCTCCTCCATATTACACCCATACACATATATTACATCTTCCAATGTGCTCCATTTATTCTTTAACACTTTGGAGAAATTCTACAGATATGCATTGCTTATTCATAACCATCTTTTTTACAGGCTAAATAGGGATGCTATTTTTTGTATTGTGCCTTTATAGGATTACAGGGCTCACCACATTATAGTTGGCATCATCATTTATATTGATGCATGTTTGTTATGTAACTGTAATGATTTTAGGAAAACCCATGCTTAGAAGTGAGGCCCCGGAGAGCGGGCGACATGGGAGGAAACCCTGTGTGGAGCAGAGCAGACAGCTTCCTGGCCCAGGGAACAGAAGACTTCCTCAGCCCTCTCAGGTACATGCATGCAGCTGCCCCGTGGGGTGGAAGACTGTGAGTAATTGCTAAGGATCAGTGATTGGGTGTGTTTGAGCTTGCTGTTTGAGCTCTCCAGTGCTTTTCATGGTGTTGGTAAAACTGAGACGCTACGATTTATGATTCTGTGGAGGAGACTTTCCGGATGAACTTGTGTTGGCAGTGTTTTACAAAAAAACGCATAACACAGTGTTTTTGTTTACAACTTGCTCTACCTGTTATTGCGCTTTATATACCTGTCACCTAGACCTTTTGCAGTATGTTATAGGTTACACAAACATTATTTAAGGTTGATTGACTTAACATGTTTATTTGGTTTGTGCAGCCAACAAAGAAGACCACAGAGCCAGTCAGACCATTTTCCAGTACTTACAACATGGCCTTTGCAGATGAAGGTATAGGGTTCACTGTATTACTACATTTTGGATTTTATTATATCTAAAGCAAACCTTAAATGTGTATAATCAGCAGCAGTACAAAAATATCTGTCTTCTATCAGGTTCAACATTCACAAGACTTCTCTTCTGCAGTATATTACTTACCATATAAGCAAAAAGAACATAGATTACCTAAAAATTCATTCAGGTAATGTGAAAGTACAACATTAAATAAGTTTAGCAGTGCAACAGGGGCATCAGAAATTGAAAAAGATTTATACATGTGGAAAGTGGAAGTGGCCAAGAATGCATGCCTGTGATAGGACTTTACCTGTATTCTCAGGTTTGGATAGTGCAGGCTACTTACACCTGGCTAGAGTACATGCTGAAGGCCTGCTGGAAGAAAAACGTACTGTGGCTGCCATGGAAACAGCCCAAACACAGCCGCCTGCATTGGTGCAGCAGTGCAGCCAACATCAGGGGCTCACCACCATTTCCTTGGAAGAACATAAAATCCTGCTCTCCCTGGACAGACTGAACCACCAGCTGCACTGTGAGCGATTTGTAAAGGCTGTTTGCATTAGGGCAGAGCTGATTGACTAGAATGTTATTATCTAATGGCAGAGTATTAACATGCTGTCATTTCATTGTAGAATAACCGCTTCTGGTTTTTACTGTTGGTAGGTGTGCAGGAACATGTTGGGGGTAACACTGGCACACGTGGCCTCATACTTATTGAGGCACCCTCTGTAAGTATGAATTTTTAAGGGCTTTATAGCTTGCCTCAGTTCATATGGTGACCTTTTATTCCTCATCATCTTCTGTTTTCAGACAAAGGAAATGAAAGTCACAAAGCGCTGTGCATCCTCAGCTAACAACCGCTTTCAATACCAGAAGAAATTCTGACCTAGAGGATGTGTGGTCCACGATGGTCTTCACGCCCATCAGTGCATTGCACCGTTCTTGGATCTTACTGTGCATCCAAGCGCTTTATTCCCTGTAAAATGGATTTAGTCTCCTTAAAAACTAATAATGTGCCTACTGAACGTCACTAACATTTGTTTGGACAGTAACGCATAGTTACAAAAAATGTATTTTACCTTTATTAAGCATTTTACTCTTAAGCAAGTGCCTGTGAAAATAATACTGGGCTCAATGCAATAGGTCCTTTTTTAAAACTGACATGACCAGAATTGATTTGTATAAGAATAATATTTATCTTTTGAAGCAGTTTTATTTTATATTTATGTTATGTATTAAAAGTATAATTTGATTGAAACTATTTTGGTACCATATTGACAGTGAGCTGAATAAAGTTTGTTGTCTGTACTAATAAACTCACTGGGTGCAGTGTGTTTGGCAGTATCAGTATCAGCATGGTCAATAAATGGACCAAGGGCCGGAAATGGTTTATAGAGAGAAGTGTTGCAACACTGAAGGTATGTTTGTCTTTGGTGGCAGTAGAAAGGAAGATTATGTCTTGTGCACTAGAGTCACCCTACTGGATAAACAAGGTGAGCCTCTGCCAGAGGGCTTCCAGCCTCCTGTTGCAATCATGTCTACCCTGAACTTTACTCTTCTTTTAAGTTCTAATGTCCTTAAATTTTAATAACATCAATAAACTAGTGATTTGACTTATTTAATTGTAGTTGTCACCTGCTGCATTGATTTGAAACAAGATGATTATTTGAATGTTTCTGTATCTCCCTGATGCATTAAGGGGACAACAAGCTCCAAGCATTATTGATGAGAGTTAAGTTGCCCCTCCCTCACTGACGTGTCTGGTTTTGCCTCTCAGTCAGCCTGCTGGGACTTGCTTTATGAGGTGGAGGAAGCCCAAGCTCATTTTGAAGAGAGTTCCCAGTGGTGATGAAACTTTTTCTGCAGGTTTCTGGTTCTGTGCATGTGTACATTGAATGTTTCAGCGAGGAGTGATGTGATGTGATGGTGGGGTTTCTCTGCCATTTAGAGTCATGCATAGCCTCCGTCTTATCTTATGCCAAATCTGAGAACAGACACAAAGAGAAAAAAAAAAAAAGTTCAGCTCTGATATCAATTTGCAGCAGCAGCAGAAACAAGTTAAGTTGTGTGCAAAGATTCCCACAGCCATTATTTGAGAGAACACGCTGATGGGCAGTATACATAATGTATATACAGTATATATATCCCCCCCATGACCCTATTGAGGAATAAGCGGTATGGATGGATGGAGAAACAACCAGTCTGACCAAATGACCAGGCCTCATCTCCACTATCTTTTATCACTTTCACAACAATGTATTCATGTAAAAGGAAAATATTAGAGCTAAAAACAACTGTTAATTGACCAAACACATGCTGAATATGTTTAATGCTTTAATACAGGTTAGCTCTGAAATCTGTTCCCTTTGGCCCACTGCTATTAATGTTAGTCATTATACCATACAATGGTGAACTTAATGACGTTTAAGCCTTAAACAGTACAACACCCAGAAACCCAACAAGAAAAGGCAAGAGTGCTGAAAATAAGAAAAGACATTTCCACAGAAACAAGTTCAAGCTTGTGCTATGATCCGTTGTGATGCCTGATCTCACAAGTATTTTGTCATGTTTTTGTACAGTCCATTTAACGTGCAGTGAATAAGTGTTTGGTCTGGCTGGGTTTCCCTAAACCTGAATAACAACTGCGAAATGAGCTTTCTTCGCAGGGCGGCCGGGCGCACCCTTAGAGATAGGGTGAGGAGCTCGGTCACCCGGGAGGAGCTCAGAGTAGAACCGCTGCTCCTCCACATCGAGAGGAGCCAGCTGAGGTGGCTCGGGCATCTGTTTCGGATGCCTCCTGGGCGCCTTCCTAGGAAGGTGTTCCAGGCATGTCCCACCGGGAGGAGGCCCCGGGGAAGACCCAGGACATTTTTTATTTTCTTACTTCACCCTTTGTTGGTGTGTGGGTGGGGTGGTTTCTATTATGATCATTTTGGTTAAGTACTTTGTAACATTTGTTTAGAAATGTGCTATGTAAGTAAATCCTTATATATTTATTTAGATTACAAATCAATTCCAAAACAGAGGGAAATGGATGGATGGATGGATGGATGGATGGATGGATGGATGAATAACAACTTGGATGCATGTAACAAGAGAAAACTGGATAGCATTATGTTCAGACTTACATTAAAAGGGAAGCAATCTTAATTTTTCAAAAACCGGTTGGTTTGTTTTTATGCCATCATGAAACAATATACACATTACATACTTGCAAAAATATGCATAAAACAAACCACAGAGCTTTAACAGTGGAGGCATAAAAGTGATTTAAAAGAAGTATTTTAAGTATAGCACTGAAAATGACATATGATAACAGTAAACAGCATGAAATAACAGTATTTGATGGATTAATTTTCAAATGAAGGAAGACAGGAATGTGTGTGTGTGTGTGTGTGTGTGTGTGAGAGAGAGAGAGAAAGTTTGCTTGTGTTTATTTAAATCTGTGTATGTACCCATTGAACTTTGCAGGGGGCACTCAAGTGCCCACGTGCGTGTAGCAACACCGTGCGTCATTATATCTGATAATAACACCAACAGGGATGACTGATATATCCACTCTGCATTTCAGGAGTTCAGATTCACTCAGTGAAACAGGGCCCAGGAAATCGTTTTTGTCCAGACCGCCAGCATAAAATCACACCTCACTGACAGTGAATCGCTTCAGAAGGATGAAGAGGCACTGACCAAAAGTGACCAAACTGCTAAGTGGGTGGTCCGCACAGGGCTGCCGGGACACTGCAGTCCATCTATTTAATGTGTCTGAGTGTGTTACAGTGATGTGAAAATGACCACTTTCACCCAAACAATGGACATCTCTTTTCTGGCAGCATGTGTGAACACAATGTTTCTTTCATTAAAGTATGTGGGCTTGTAGTACAATCAAGGTCTCAGACAACCCATGAATTACTGTGTAATCATTCTCGAAAGCGTCTTGATTCGACGCATGAAAAGTAACAGCAGAACGCTGGATTCATGTAAGACAGTTAGGCCTACAGTAGTAATACAGGACTGGAATAAATACTGTGATTACGGTGGGTCATGCACAGAACCAAGACTTCATAATAGTGAAGCACACACTGTGTATTATTCAGCCTTCTTTTGCTCATCACAGATGTTTCAAAGTTGCCGGTTTCAATATTAAATTAAAAATGAAAATAACTAAATAACAGTAAATGAACAAAGTAGGCCTGTGAGCAGCTTGTGTAAATCTGTTAATGGGGATTTACAGTGTCTGAAGGTATTAAATAGTGCTTCATAATCATTCATTCAGTGCATGTATGGGAACAGGATTGAAACAGAGCCTCTGTAACCACAGAGAGTGGATCCTGACAAAATGATTTCTCAATGGAAGAGGGGCCTCATTAGCATAACAATTGTGGGAACTACATGGATCTACTGGAACTGTTGAAGAAAGAGGGACAAAAATAACTATAATACATACTGATTAGTGTATTGTTAAAATCTTTGAATTGTGAATAGTTATGCTGCCCATCCATCATCTATAACCAGAATGCATAGCCTCATATTTCATTCATAAACACTGAGAAAACAGGCCAACACTATGTTCTAGATAAATACACTTTCAAAAGTAGTAAGAATGCAGTAAATCCTAAGCCCGGAATACTTTAAACACATCATTGTACAAAAAGAAAAGTTTGTTTTGGCACAATTCTGTGTTTCATCTGAGGTTTTGATGTTGCTTCTGCAGTGTGCACACATTTTCCACCTGCATGTCCATTGTTTGTTTGGGCCTGTTTAAAAGTGAACAACAAATGATGAAAGATGCACGTTTACTGTATTTTCCCTGTGTCTGGCACTTCAAGTTTTACGTTGCAAATGAACCATATGATGCTGCCCAGGTGCTCCAGGGAACAGCAGGGGTCCTTGCCAACGTGTGAGATTGGCTCTTCAGTTTACCCACTGATTATTAAACAATAACAAAAGTGACTTTTGTATATGGTCTCTCATCAAATGGAGATTTGAGATGAGGGAAATACTAACACTGAAAGATTGTGACAACAATTCTTTTATCAAATGTGGGGTTTATGGGTTTATATAAATGTGATGTAAATAGAGAAATGGCACAATTCAGAGGCACCTGGAGTGTCCCGGGCTCCTGGGAACACTGTACCTTTAAAGACTCATGTCCCAATTAAACCCAAGCCCCGCCTGTGGAGTAGGCATCCCATGAGTCATAAAGTTTGATGTCCTGCCCAAAGTTAAGACTAGAGTGGAGCAAAACTTTTTTTTTTTTCTTATGGAGTGAACTGCGGAGATTTGTTGTCCGGACTGCGACTCTGTCTTGTAAAGAATATTCCCTAATACCTTCAGCTTAGCTGAAACACAGAACAAGTGAGAGTCTTCCAGCCAATAAGTTGTTTTTCGTCTTTAGTGACTGCGTCTGCGTTTTTTTTTTTTTTTTGGAAAACTCGGGGACGGATGACAAGAGAGATTCCAGTGTGTAGGAGATATGCGCTTTGTTAAATTCACAAGTATGCTCTCCAGCAGGAAAACGCTGTCTTTCACTACAGATTTCGACAGCTAACACACTTTGGAACAACACCAAGTACTCTGCTGTAAAACCTTAGAATGACTCGGGATAACTTTTACTGACTGTCGTCGAGATTTCCAGATTTCCTGCTGCGTAAAAAAAAAGTTTGGGACTGGCTCAAACTTATTTTTTGAATTGCTGAACGCGTCATTTTCGGACACAAAGTTGGCAGAGGTTTTGGGGCAATGGATCCGAGCCAGCATAACCCTCCTGCGGGACACCAGATCGTCCATGTACGGGGTGACTCTGAGACCGACCTGGAGGCGCTTTTTAACGCCGTGATGAACCCGAAAAACACTATCGTGCCCCCTTCCGTACCCATGAGGATGAGGAAGCTGCCAGACTCTTTCTTCAAACCTCCTGAACCAAAGCCCCACTCCAGACAAGTAAGCCCGCCCTGTCTTTTCTCTGCCCCTTCCCAGAAATCAAGATTAAAGCAAAGGCCCATCCTGTGGGGGGCCAGGGCTGCAGGACGGGACTGGCACAGCCGGTTAAAAGTTACATTTCACCTCGAAGTGGCATTTACCCTCCTCTCTAACAAATTACGATACAGTTAAGTGAAATTTCTCATCATGCTATAAATAGATTGATAACTTTATTGAAGAAAAACATGTCACCAAAATAGCATCGGAGCCATTTGTTGGTTTTATTCCACCTAAAGTGAGTTGTCACATTGGCTGAACCTCCACAGGATAAGAGACCTCGCACATATGCGTAAAAGTTTTGGTGACATTCATGCCAGTATATTTATACCACGGCAGCAATCATGTGTAAATAATTAAAGTGAGTGTCTAAAATAAATAACATATTTTTAGTAATCAAGATGATAACCCCCCACCCACACACACACACACACATCCCCCCACAACTGTTGCTTGTGGTCTCTAAGTTTTTGGCGTCAGTGCGCATGCGTTGTTGAGCAGCCAGTCTTGGCTGTCTTCTATCCCATCAGGCCTCAGAGCCACCCCCCCAGACCTAAACAACACTCAAACCTGCCTACACATGCACATGAACGAAACTTCCCAATGTACATGTGAAGTGATTATAAAGTTATGAGAAGTGACTAAATCAGGGTAATGTATGGAGATGTAGTGCACACAAATCCTTTGTCGGCTATACCCTGTTGAATTCTTGTGTGTGGGGTCTGGTAATTTCCATTCTAAATAAGATATTTGTTTTACAGGTTTTTTTAAAATACATACTTTAGTTTTGGTAACATTTGCATAATGTCCTCTCACATTAAATGATCCTATAATGCATTGTTTCTCTTCATAACGATATAAGGTGAAGCTTGGGAACAGGAAGTGATCCCTAAGGGAAATCACAGTTCTTCAAAATGCACTAATACTGCCTCCCCTCCAACCCCAACACAGGCCAGCACTGATGCTGGGAGCGGCGGAGCGCTCACCCCTCACCATGTCCGTGCACACTCGTCCCCGGCCTCCCTGCAGATGGGAACTGTTTCTGGTGGTTCCCTGTCTGGTATGACCTCCGCAGGTGCCTCTCCTCAACATCTCCGTCAGTCCTCTTATGAGATTCCTGATGACATGCCCCTGCCCCCGGGGTGGGAGATGGCCAAGACCGCCTCCGGCCAGAGATACTTCCTTAAGTAAGTATGCTGATAACATATAGTCCTTTCAAAACATGGAAAGTTTGCAGCTTCAAGGAATGTTTCTGAAAATGACTGGATGACTTTGAAAGCAGATAAAGAGTTTTGTTGATATAGAGCACAAAGAGCCATCAGTATCCCAGCATTCTGGATGTGTCCCAGTGCCAACACTTTGCATCCTGATGATGCACTGGTTTATATTAAATGATGAACTTCTGACCTGACAGTTTCAGGATGAGGCATCTGTGCCCTGTAATGTTAACCATTCAGCTCTTTTATCCATGCTATGGAAAGTGTGGATCTTTTAATTTTACCAAACATTAGGAGGTTCTTGACCTGTGTTCATGTGAGTGTGTTTAAAACCTGGTTTCTTTTTATCCTCTCTGTATCATATGTGAAAGTGTTTTCTCTCAGCAAAATGACTCTAATTAAACAGGTCTGAACTAACTAGGGCAAAACGAAACCAAGTCATTAAGATACAGTCTGTATCTTAAGGTTCATGACAAGTAACTGAACCTTTTAATGTGCAGCTTGTGATAAATTACAGGTTGAAAGCTTATTTTTGCAATTTTTAGATAAGGGAAGACGTTAGCTTTCAGCAATGACCAAGACGAGTCCAAATTAGCAAAGACGTGGTCTTGAAATCGCGCTCTCAGCTCTTGTCAGTCTACATCGTGCTGACAGTAATTTGTTGCAAATGTGCAACAGTGCACAATGGTGGCCAGTGTGCTCAAAAAGAGGCAATCACAGTAGTTAAATTTTAGGTTATTAATTTGCTGGCCTCTGCAAACAATAGCAGCCTTTTTAGGGCCTGCTGCTGTGTGTAGTGTTCTTTAACTTGGTCTCAGGTTTCAGTAGAAACAATAGACTACTGTAGCTGCCCTAGACAGCAAAGGACAGTCAGCTCTGCAAAACTCATCTGCTAACCAGCGGATCTCTTCCAATGATCCAAGTAAAATAGTAGGTAGCAGCTATAGCAGAACCCTTTGGAGCTTGTCAGTAACGTTTTGGGTCTTGACAATTTTTTTTTCTTGTATGTTTATTGGTGTTTTATTGCTTTTGTTCTCTGTAGTTCTGTGAAAAGAAGGATTGAATTATTCATAAAAATGGCGTTCATGTCAACAATGTATGATAATATCATTGGCTCCTTGTGAAATGTTCCAAAGTTTTTGAAATGCTCAGCAGCTCGTGTTTGGAAATGATTTGACACTGAAAGTTGCTATTTTTATTCCTCTTAAAGGTAAAAGGGCGTCAGTTCTCGGAAATAACACTGACCCTGAACAAACATGATAGCCTTTCCCCTGGATCAAAAAAATAGAGTTTAGTACCAGATGTTTAAAAGTCTCACATCTGGAGAACATCTGGCCTGATCTGAGGAGACTCTTCCAAAATTGGACTGGGGGACAGAAGATGCTGTTCTCATAGACGAGACCACTGCAGTTGTTTAGGAACTGATTGATATAATGCCCCCGGACAGTGAAGCAATTCTGTTAACTAAAGCTGAGTTTAGTTTGGAAAACCCAATCACACACAACTTATAGTTCAAACATTTGTTGCACTGTTCGGTTTCGTTGCTGTTTGTAGGAATGAGTCAGTTATTTTTTTTAAACTTGAAATAATGTGATTTATTTGTCCTGTGTTGTGTAACAATTGCATAATTGTCAAAGTTTGAGTTTTTTTTTTTTTTAACCGCTTTTACATCAAAAACAAAACAGCAAAGCAGATGGAACTACTATCTATGATTAATTGGTTGCTTGTAGTGATGTGAGACAAAACAACACTATTACACACAACTCTAAATTGTTATTTTTAAAAACACTTTGTTTTTGCACAGCATGGTAAAAAAAACAAATTATACCCAAACCAGAAACACAGCTCAACTTTCATACTCAAAAGAAACCTGAAAGAATTTCACTGAAGTATATACAGGTGACGAGGCACAATAAAACATAAATGACAGTATGTTTGTACCGTTTGTCAACGGACCAACAATTTCTTCTAAATCCTGAATCTTACTTTCTGTCCTGTTCAGATTGTTGCCAGTTTCTGGAAGTAGCTTTCTCCTGACAAGCAAAACTGATGGAAACTTCAGGACTGACTTGTGGAAAAACAGCTGAGTTACTCTCTAACTGGTGTGTTCTACTACTAGAATACGTGTAGCACCCAGTGTTTGTGTTCAGCTAAGACAAATTCAAGGAGACTCTGCACAGTGTAGATACTTGATCTGGAGTGAAGGCGGCCTCAGCAAAGCTGCTGGAAAAGACACTCCCCTATTTATAAACAAGGGTTGTCTGACCAAGATGTGTTGCAGAAGGAGTGAAGCAGAGCGAGTGCATGTGTATGTATGTGGGTGGGTGGACGGACGGGTGGGGGTGGGGAGTTGGTCACCAGCTAGCAGAGCTGACCGAGCAAAGAGCAGGGGCTCACATTTCACTCAGGTGACTGCTGTTGTCCTTAGAAATCTATCAGCTCAGGGTGAAAATGTTTTTAAAGGAGTCTGTTTCTGTTGTTTACTAGTTCACCATAGGATCGTACAGTTGGGAGTGATCGGCCTGTGTGAGTCACGGCAGCCCTGTGGATGCTGATATCCCACTCCCGGTAAAAGCCATGTTCCATTTTGGAATGAATGGAGCTGTGGTGCTGTGATGGTGCCTCTTTTGTGTCAGTGAAGTTAAATGGTAGCCATGTGGGGATGACTCAAAGAGGGGCCAAGAGAAACTCCGGCCCTCCCTTTGTCCCAGCAGTGAAACAGTGGTCTTTATTCAGGCTAGGAGTGTGAATTCTAATCAGTGACCTAGTTGACTGATTGACATAGTTCACGTTGCTGACAGCTTCAGTTCAGCCTGATGTTTTTCTTTCTTTGGATTAGTCATTTATCAAGAAAAATGCTGGACTATATTTATGTCCAGCTGCTCAATTGGCAGGATTTCTGTTGTTAGTTTTCTATTTTAAGAATCAGAATCAGCTTTATTGGCCAGGTGTGTCGGACACATGAGGAATTTGACTCTGGTACGTGTACATTTTATTTTCAGACTACTGGCCAGACAGACATTGTTTTATGCTCTCAGATAAACTGTGATAAAATATTAAGTAAAAAAAACCAAAACGGTTTAATAGTTAATGAAAACAGTTGTAGCCCTGATAGAAATAGGAGTGAAATATGAGCGGTTTCCTGCTAAATATACTTTTTAGTTTGTTTTAACCCTTAAGCTGGGTGAAGACTGGGAGAATGTCAACAAAGTCTGTTGACCTTTCCTCCTCTTTCTTCCAGCAGTTTGCTGTGGCCTTTGATTTATGGCAGCAGGGGGGGGGGGGGTGGGACTGGGATGGGGGCAGGGCTGGTCTCCAGGGCTGGGTCATAAACTAATGAAGGTTTCTAATTTAGACACACCAGTGGACTAGGAGGGGTAATCACTGTTTCCGGGAGCTTATTAAATGCAGCTTTGAGTGAGCTTTTTCAGCTATTGTCTGCCCTAGCTGTGTGTCGATGGACACTTTTGTCTTTTCTCACCTGCATTTTTAATTCTTTTGACAAGTCTTGTTTCTCTCAGCTGGCTTGTCTTTCCAGATCTAAAATAACAGTGGCTGTAAATGATCAGATTATTCACTGTGACCAGGTTTGATGAAGACTTTCATGATATTGGCTATTGTCTGCATTTCTTTCCTGTGTTTTTACACCATAAAGCTGCACACTCCTGAGAACACTGAATGCACTGATAACTAGTCTAGCTTGTCTAGAGTTTCCTGAACATCTGTTGCACTAAATAGAAGTCAAGGAGACCTCCCTCTTAGAGCAGGGAAGCTCAAAGTGTTCATTTGGACCTTGTGCTTTTATTTTATGCAGTCTATATCTGTGTAGTGCAGCCCTCTGTTGAGTTTTGCAGCAACGTCAATGGTTCTTTTAAAATCCCCTGCCTTTTCCTATTGTGTAAAGAAGAACTAATTCTTTTAAACATTGCAAGACTGGAACTACTTGCTAATTTTTGTATGGTTATAGATATTATAGTGAAATAGTGCAATAATTCTCTTAATGAATAAATATATATGTATAATGTATATATGGATACACTATACAATGTGCACAGTGACACACCCATGAATGCAGTGGAAACCCCCCAGTGTTGGCCTCGTGAATGTTAATGCTATGTGTAAAGAAGGTGTCAGTTACCTGGCCTACTTTTTAAGTTTACTCCACAATTGTAAACATCTTGTATCACAGCAGTGACTGTCTAAAACGGACTTAAGTTTCATAGTTTGGCTAAAAGGGAACTTATACTTGGCATCTTATGTAAACATCACATAAAAAAGCTAATCATTTTCAGTGTAAGTTGTCCTCTAATTTACTTGATATCTGCATAAAACTTGAAATCATAAAAACATAAATTGGGTTTCAAGCTAAGCTGTTATGAACCGAGTCCACTCGGTCACAACTGGTGCTGGGTGGATGGTCTGCAGGCCTGGATGGAGCCCTCATTTGGGGCAACTTTGTGTTTGACAAACTTTTGGTTTATTGACTACACATGGACAAGACCCATCCAGTTCAACGGGGCCCTGTCAAGTCAGTACACAAATGGGACTGTGAGAAAGTCAGGCTGGTGTTTACCAAAGTCTTGATGTAACACCTCTGTTCCAGACATCAATGCCTCCACTGTCGCCGAGGGCAGCTCCACAGAGATGTAGTATCTGAGAAGTAGAGCCTCTCAGGTTAGAGTTCCCCACAGTACTTGGACTCAAAGCGACTGAATGGTGCTTGATTAACAAAATACAGAGACATTTGCATATACTGTATGTTGTCAGTTATTGTCCAATCATTTATTTAACTTGGTGCTTGTTTAGTGAAGTGAACATAGTTCTACATTTAGCAACAGTTTTTGCTTGTAAAAAATGTGAATGCCATGTGGCACTTCTTAAAATGACACTTAATAAATTAGCTTTTTGATTAGTCTTGGAAAATAAATGGCAGTAAACCTGAACTAGTCCTGGTACTTTGTGAATTACTTGTTTTGTCAGGAAGTATGATGATACAAACCTTTCTTCAAAGGGGAACTTAAAGCCACAAAAGGGTCACAGGGGTTACCCCAATAATCTCTCTTGATGATGTCCTGCTGATAGAGAGGCAGCCAGGCATCCACAGTCAACCGGCATGGAGGTGGTCATCCTCATCTTAGAGGCCTGATTACATGTGGCCTCCCTCAGTGCACTCTTTAGTCATCGGCGTCAACCACCTTCCAAGCATATACTCCCTGGGTGGAGCCCCTGTGGCCTGCGGATCCCATCTTTAACATTTGACAACTCAGCTGTGCGGTGTTTCATTACCAGTGCACTCCCTATAGCCTCGCTCCTCTGTTTTCTAACAGTGAAATGCAGCTTTTGACATCTGGCTTCAAAGAGACAATTTCAATGGAATAAACTGTCGATCTGGCCTCAAATCTAGCTTTGATCTGCTGTTCTGGCAGGTAGCAGAGATTATTCAGAGACATTTAAACCACATGGCTGACTTATTTTTGGCTAGAACATTCTCTCCAAAGGCAGATGTAGATGCCACAGTTTTCATGGGTGTAAACAGGCAATCTGTGTGTCAGAAGGTTTGTCATACCACTGTAACCAAATAAAGTCCGTGCACTTGGATCTCTTTAAGGATGTTGAACCTCTACTCTGAACTCAGCAAAAAGTTTTGATTCACTCCCAGCTTTTACACTATCTTTTAAATATATTAATAAGAGTGAAGTTCCATCTTGAATGATCTTATAGAATAGGAACGCAAGTCGATGGGGATTAGCGTCCATGTAATTGGCACTGAACAGAAAGGTCATATGCCAGATCATTTAAGCAAAGTCAAGTTTAGCCCATAGTTCCCCTCCTCTCCTCTGCAGCCAAACACATTATAAATAATGCTGGCTCAATAAACGCCACCTTGATAATTGGGCCATCAGTCAAGCAGATGTCAAGTGCCTGGGTGGATCAAGAGTCCTACTCTGTGCTCTGCTAACACACAGTCATCCATGATGAGGGCGTGAGCAAAAAACCTGATTTACTTTAACTGCCATCTTAATGGTTTAGCATGTCACTGTAGACATATGAACATGTTCATATTGTTTTCAAATGTAACTGTTTATGTGCCAGCAAGGCCTCACCCACAGCTGTTTCTCTCTGTGTCCACTGCCCTGCCCCAGGGATGGAGTTTGGGGGAGGGTGTGGTGGCTGTCCTGCCGAGCCCGCTGTGCTGTCAGAGACGTGTAAAGACACCACGGAGCAGTTGTGACTGTGGAGGTTGCAGATCATCAGCAATTCCTAACAGCAACTGGTGGCCTCCAGCCGTCGCAACAGTTGCCATGGCATTGTTTTGTTTTATGTTTCGCACGCAGGAAGCGGTGTATAGCCCTGGCCATATAAGGTTGGGGGAATGTTGAATGAATGGATTATCTTTTAGTTTATAACTTGGTGATGAATTACGGGCTCCTGGTAACTCATTTACTAGTGCTCTCGGGCTCTTGTATGTGTTCACAGTGTGATTTTTTTTTTTTTTTTTTTTAATTTTATCACATGCCTTTTGAGTATCATCTCTGTTTTGAACTGAAGCTGTATTTACATCTCTTTTCATCTGAACTACAGAAGTTAGTATCCCAAGCTTGTGTCTGATTGAAAATTCAATATCTGCACTTTCATCTCTGAAGATGGTGGGGAGCAGAAAAGAATTTACAATCAGAGAACTTGGAGGCTTTGAGGTTATACATTTCCTGTTGTTTTCCAGTAGCCTTTCAGTTTAGCATTGGTGTATCAGAATGAGCAGGCCTCTCATTTACGATCAGCCCCTCTGTTGCCATATTTGAGTGCTCTTCTTCCATATTCCTCCCCTGTTCTCCCCTCCCCTCTATAATAAATGTCATAGTTTCCAGAGTGGGAAGGAGGCAGCGAAGGGGGCAGGGCGGGCACTCAAAGTGTAGCAGGACCACAGCAACTCATGCAGCCAATAGAATTCAGAGGGATTGCTTCCGTAGATGTTTTTTTTCCTCTTTCACTCTGCTTTTCCTTTTTTGTAGTTGTCTCACCCCCTCCCTGTGACCTCTCTTTCTCAAGGGGCCCCTACAGTCTGAGCAGTTCTAGCTGTTTTGCTTGGTTTGTGGTGTTTGTGTGTGTGTGTGTGTGTGTGTGTGTGTGTGTGTGTGTGTGTGTGTGTGTGTGTGTGTGTGTGTGTGTGTGTGTGTGAGGGCTGGGGGAGGGTTTGGTAGGGGATTAGGCAGCCCTTTTGATCAGTAAAGCATAAACAAGAGGGGGTTTCAAAATGGGTTGTATTGTGTGTATGTGCAGGAGGGGAGTGCTGAGTCAGGCCCTCTCGCTCTCTGGCCTGGGATGGTGAGCAGACAGGCAGGCTGGCATTACCACAGGGGCCAGGAGAATCTGAATCTCTCACTTCGCCCAGCTGTTCCAAAATGTGTGCTAATGGCACTTTGAGATCAAATTAACAGTGAAATGTAAAGGCACTGTGGGTGGGGGAACACAAACAAGTTGCAGCAGATAGATTGCTGAGGGTAATATTTAGCTGCATTATGAACATGTGTATTGAAATAATTTAGCCTTTGCTACAATATAAATGTAGGACTTATCGTGTTGTGTAAACAACCTGCTGGAGTGTGGTCCCCATTTGTTTAAGATGGGAGGGTCTCTTAAAGGGGATAGTAAAAAAAAGTGCCTTTGTCAAGCAGGTGAAAGCTTTGTAAATGTGGCGCCAGATTGTTAAAGCCCCTGACACTCCACAGTGTCCGAGCCGGTTCCAGGAAAAAGGACCCCCTGCGTTGAGCCCTGGGACTGACCCACCCTCAATAAAAAGGGCCTGCTCGGGAGAGAAGGGCTTCCTGTATTAGCTTTCCATCTTAATCAAGCAACAAGTACCAACAAAGCACTAATTATCAATGCCTTCACAGAGCTGCACAGTTCCCCCTCCCCAGCTCCCCGCTCCTGTCCCAGCAAAGACGAGCCATAAAATAGATTGTTTGATGTTACAATACTTGTTTTGAAACCAGTCGTAGCTTCCTTGACGTTTTCAGAAAGAACTTTTCAGCTTACCTACAGTCACAAAGTCGGACTTGATTTTAGTTTTAGTTGCCTTCTACTGTTTCTTTAAATTTGAATTTATAACTTTATTACAAATAAGGTGCCGTTTCTCCCTTCTGATTCATGAGGTACTGTTTTCTGTGAATTACAAGGGGGAAAACATCCCAGTTCAATCCAAACAAAGAATTAAAGCCTTGTGTGACTACGCTGAATTGAGTGCTCAGACTGGGTCCAAACAGCTGAGTTTGACTTCCTGTAACAGTCATCGTTTACAGAAAGCAAGGGTTAGATTCAGTGTCTTCATGAAAGGCCTTGCTAAAACTGCTCTGAGTCATCGGTTCCTGCATGTGACCTGCTGTTTTGCACTGATATGGTCCCCGGTTTGAATTTTTTTACCGATTACTGGCTGCGACACATTGACTGTTTCTAACTTATTTTTCTGACTGTCTTGTCTCTCTATAGCCACATTGATCAGACCACCACTTGGCAGGATCCTCGCAAGGCCCTGCTCCAGATGAACCAGGCTGCCCCGGCCAGTTCTGTGCCAGTCCAGCAGCAGAACCTTATGAACCCAGCCAGTGGTGTGTATATGTTGACTTAGTTAAATTCTGGTTTACTATACACATTATACGTACCACAAATAATGATCAGTATTTTCTGGGTGTCTCAGTATGAAACCCAGAATTATTTCTGGGCATTTTCTTTCTTTTGCCCAACATCCAGTCAAAGCCAGGAGCAGCCTAGTCTAGTTCTTGCATGTCACTAAGACTCTGTGTACCTCAACTCTGTCCATGCAGCTGGAATTTGCCCTAGGTGAGGTAAGACAGAGGTAGAACGTGACAGGTCCTGTCTGACATGTTTGGGAGCTGCGTGACTCACAGATTAAAGTTTACAAAGTATCTTTGTATTCTCAAATTGTCACTGTTCTATATGGCAACTAGTGAGTGAATGCAAAAGGAAATTAAAAGCCTAAATTGTGACAAACTGGCTTGTATGTTTTCAGTAACAGATGACAAAGACTTATCTTCCGAGAGACGAAAAATATGCAGCTGTTTGTCTTGGTTGTCTTTTGCCCATGCAGCCATTTATATCTTAGCGTGTGTACATTAACTTATACATCTGATAATACAGCTTCTTTTAACACCAGTATGCTGTAATTATGCCCAAATATGTATCACAGTTATGTAATGTTGCTATATGTTGTGCAACCTGTCAATAAAGAAAACTGAGCAGTGGGGAACCACCAGCCGCTCTCAACAGTATTTTTACCTGTGACCCCCTAGGTCCTCTCCCTGACGGCTGGGAACAAGCTGTTACATCAGAGGGAGAAATTTACTACATCAACCACAAGAACAAGACCACATCCTGGCTGGACCCACGACTTGACACACACTACGGTGAGTTTACTATAGATGGCTTTTGTTTCACTTTTGTCCTTGATTGAAATAAAATGCTATGTATGTTCTAAATGTTAGATGGAGACAGTTGATTATTCAAATATGTAGCTGCTTTACGTATTTTAAATTAAAATATGTACATTTTATGTAAAAGACTAAACAAAGGGGTTTCTTAAATGCTTGCTTTTTGTGACGGCACTTCACTTTCCCCATCACAAAACCCCTAATCCAAAAATGGTATATCACCACAAATGTAATAGTGAGTTCAGTTCTGCATGATTCATAGTTCATTTCACCGCACTACATTGTTTTGAGGTGACTAGTTATGAACTTGCACCTACACTTGTGTCAGCCATTTTAGTGTTGGAGCAGAGCAACAGCTGAGTTGGCCATTAATCCCTCAACCCAGGCTGAAGTTTGAAAGTTAGCCAGGACTGGTGAATTAGTGACAGGACCACATACATGTGTTGAGATGCCTCTGTAACCATGGGAATGAGCTAATCCTCCTGTGTGCCAGGAACACTTCCAGAGATGATGGCTCCTGTTTATGTCACTCTGACTCATTTACGCTCCAGGTGCCATCTCTTCGTTTCAGCAGCATTCCCCAGGGAAGCTCACCCTGCTTCACAAAGGCAGCATGTGAATCAGCGCACAGCTTGTTATCCTGTTTGATTTTAGTGTTACTTTTTAATTTTTTTTTTTTTTAATCAAGCCTAGGTGTTTAAAGGGCAGTTTTTCTGTACACAGTTGTCTGAAGTCAGGCAGGAAGGTTCAAAACTGAGTTGTAAGGGGAGTGGGGCAGCTGGGAAGAGGTGCCTCTGATCGGCAAAGTTCTTTGTAGATTTACAAGTCTTGAAGTTGCAGTACCGGGCCCCTTAAAGCAAGGAGGAGACCATGTTAACTCATTATGTGCCATCAAACATCATTTTGTTCCACACAGATAAAATTTTGGCTGTACTTCGTAATTCAAACAGTTCACTTTTGCTCTTATGTTGCTCATCTGCTGTTTGTATCTTTTGATTGTTTAGATTAGTAGACAGTTGCCATGTGCTTTAAACTACTTGATATTTGAAGTGTGGGACTGTGCTTGAAGGAGAACCTAATTTTATTAAAATCATATATTTGTACACTGAAACAGGCTCTCTGCTGCTATGTAGGTCTCCAATCATAAGACAGCGGCTTTGATAATGGAGGCTAATTTGAGCTTTGAGGAAAAAAAGCAGCAGAGCGCCTTTAACTGGGGGTTGCTGCCGGCTGGCTTTCCCCTGCGTGAGGCCCAGTGCATGCACAGCCCCATTCTGCTGTAGTTCCAGACAGACTTGAGTCTTTGCCAGGCCTCTTTATTCTGTGGTCCAACTCTTAATCTGTTCCAGACCTTTTCAGTCAAAGAACTCCAGTGTGAGAGGGGAGGTGGGGGGCAGGGAGAGGCAGGGCGAAAGGGTAAGAAAGAAAAACTCAGGAACACAGGGAAAATGCCGACGGGATAAGCATGCATCCTCCTTAAGATCCAAGGACGTGGTGAGCAGTGAACAAGCCATGAGTGCACTGTGGTTGAGTTCAAAAGGGGGCTGGCCTTTGTGGATATGTTGTTTTCCAAACGTTCTTCTGTGGACGAATATCAGGAAAAGCATACTAGAGTGATACTCGTGCACAAAAAAAACAATTTCCTCCGGGAGTTTGTTTTGTTTGTTTTTGGTGTGAGAGTGTTTTAAAATGATTTAGTTTTTTAAATCGGTGTCCTGTTTACTTCAGAAAGTTCTTGGCTTTGAACCGTTTTTATTATAAATACTCCTACCAAAGAACTTTAAATAATTATTTTTATAGTTCAGCTCAACTAACACTTTCCAAAATGATTTTTACAGGATTTGGGCAAATCAAAAAAAATTGTTGCACTACTATGTCTGTGTTAACCTTTTATTTTGTCAAGAAAATTTGAACTTGTTGTATTAAAACAATTCCCTGATTGGCTGCCCTACACTCTTGATATTGCCCAACTGACGCCATTCAGAGTCGGGTCAATACAGACTGGCTTTACTGAGATCTTACAAGATGATAATACAGCGTTTGTATCACACCTAGACTTTTCTTGGCCCTAGAAACACAACACCTTCCCAAGGGAAATTTTTTTTAAACTTGTTAAGTCCACAGCAGACAAATATTTACTGAGCCTTCAAAGGTTCTGTGCCCTAGTCACATAGAGAAGTTCCCACAGCTGGTGCACCCTCAACTCTACCTGCCCCAGGTGATCTTGTGGTGTAATATGCCTGCTAGTGTGATGGTTTGATAAGGGTCTGTGTTTCTGGCTCATTGTGTTGCAGGGGTGCATAAAGAAGACAAAAGGCAGACGGCTTTAACTTGTCTCTTATCTGCCTGGCCCACCAGTTATCACTACCCATATGTGCTGCTAACTTCAAACCCCCCACCCACACACACACACACACACACACTCTCTCTCTCTCTCTCTCTCTCTCTCTCTCTCTCTCTCTCACTCACATAACTCAGCCTGGATTGGCCTCCATTTAAACTATCACTCTGGCCCTGAACTGAACCTGTCCTTCGCTCCTATCTCACTAGCTGATGCAATTTTCTACTTTGATATGCCTCATTGTTTGTGCATAGTTCCCCCTGTAAGACTGGTTGCTGTTAGTTGTTTGGTCTCTGAGGTGGGCCTTGAGTTGGCGCTTCAGTAGAAAGGCTGCTGTAAGGCTGCTTTCCTCAGCCGTATCAGTGGAGCTCTTTCCATATGCCCCCCTCACTTTCTCACACTCGAATCTCATGCCTTAAAGGACGGTCTCAGGTCATTTCAAAATGGCTTTTGTTTGTATCATCGGTGGCCATTGTTTCTATTAGTTATGAGAACACTGTACTCACTGTAGTTGTTGCGGAGATGTAGGAATATGGCAGTATCAATACAGTACGCCGGTTGGTGCACAGAACATGAACGGGCAGACATCAGGTTTCTTAACAAGCCTACATTTTATAAATCATTTCATCTGGGGCTAAAACTGAACTGCCATTTACAGTAATTGCACAGGAAAACACAACTACAAAAGGCTATGGAAAGTCTAGTCATAGAGGAATCAGGTAGTCTGTTAACTTGACAACAAGGCTTTGCTTTCTCTTTCACATAGGTTTGAGTGTCTGTCTGATTGTCATTTCTTGCCGTGTCAGACTTCCTGCAACGCTTATACCTACACGAATAACATGTTATTGTCGCTGATAGAAATTATGGTCACAACTACAATTTAATATGTGGCTTTGTGCATCAGTGGATCTCTATCAATATGCCTCCCCTCACTTTTTAATGCATGCTCTCCTTCAAAGCACATGCCTTAACAGATCTATAACTGCTGACATCGCCCATATGCAGCACCTCTGTCTTGGGAACAGCTAATGGTGCCCTGATGGTCGAGTGATCTAGCTACAAAAGGGGATCTGGCAAATCTAAGAAGATGAGAGAAGCAACATGCTCATGGATTCAGCTGATGTGTGTGGGAGAGAGGCGGCGGCTCTGACTCTGTGTGTGGTTGTGTGCATGTGTATGTGCTGGGGTGGGGTTGTTGGGGGAGGCAGCATTGACAAAGAGGGAGGGAGAGGGGATACGGAGGGCAGGGCGGGGCCTCCAGTGCTTCCCAGGGAGAGCCCCGAGCCACGGTTTATTCAGCCCCTGAGATAGTGTAAACAGACAGTGATTAAATGGTGATGAGAAAGGTGCCGGGGTGGGCAGGACAGCACGGAGAGAGGTGGTCCCGCATGAAAACTGTGCCCCTGTCGAGGCTTTGTTTTGGTTGGTGCTTCAAGCGCATAAGCAAACATACTGGAGCTTCTCACTGCTTCCATTACTGTTACTCCCCTTGCGGTCAAGCACATTTGCTTCTCTTACTCTTCTGCCGTGATAAAACGTGTGGCCTACTTTGCATGCATAGATTGCTGCTCCTGTTTATTAGGCCCACCCCCATTAGAGTAAAGAATAACAATGATTTCACTGGGGAACAGCTGTGTTTTCAATACACACATTTGTTTTGATATTGTAAACACGCAGAGAGCTTGTTATTGCACAATGCAGTTACATTTGTTGGGTGAAAGAACTTTGAAACTAGACTTAATAGTGGTACAGTGTAGACAGAACCTGATGTGGGTCCATTTTAAATTGATTTGTCTGATAGGCACACTGTGCTCATACTGCATTTCTTTAAGTCAGTTGAAGTGAACCCATCAGGCCAGGGCAAGGAGGCAGTCAGTCTTGAGGGATAATCTGTGATTTGTTTAGAAGGAAACAAAACGCACAATGAGAGGATAAGTCGTGACTAATGCAATGTACAAAACTAACAAAGCCTGTCTTACTCAGTGAGTGGGAGGGGATCAGGTCTTACAGGAATAGTGATTGTTTCAGACACTAGATGGAAAACTTGCGTTGGGCCTTCTCTTGTCCTACATAACCTGCTGCACTGGCTATAGTCTTTTGCAAGTTCACCTTGTAGACAAAATATTCCAGTTGTCAGTCTTGTTGTGCAGCGTTTAATTAAATGCACCCAAGCATTCAGTGGTGTAGTAGCAGGGTATAGTCTCCTGCAGGTACTATATGTACAGTCTATTTTACATAAACCTATTGAAAACTGTCATTGTTAAATTGGAATTTAACTTATTAGCCTGAAGAATGGAGATGCAAGACAAAGGTGTGCCATAAGAGACCATATCTAGAATGTTTACATTTTGTAATTGAGAGTCTCCATATTGAAGGTTTAAAATTACCACTGATGTCTGTGCGTTAAAAATTTGAACTCCTTTCTCTTTTGCAGCCCTAAACCAGCAGCGAATTTCCCAGAGTGCTCCAGTGAAGCAGGGAGGCCAGCTGCCTTACCACTGATGTCTATGCGTTAAAAATTTGAACTCCTTTCTCTTTTGCAGCCCTAAACCAGCAGCGAATTTCCCAGAGTGCTCCAGTGAAGCAGGGAGGCCAGCTGCCTTCCAGCACCCACAGCGGAGTCATGGGAAGCAACAACCAGATGAGACTGCAGCAGATTGAGAAGGAAAGGTTGAGACTGAAGCAACAGGAGCTGCTTCGGCAGAGACCACAGGTCAGGAATCAGAGTTAAAGCATTTTAAAAAGGGTTCAAAGGCCTTTTGGGCAGTACTGTGGCCTCATGGAGGAACAACTCAGCTGTATCAAAAAGGTCACAAGGTCATTACTATCAGTATGTGTCCATTGGTCCATAGTAGCAAGACAATGGACATTTAACTGCTTAAGCTTAATCGAGACTTGTCCACCACTGTGCATAGATGTTGGCATGTACCTCTGCAGCGAATGGGTTTATGGGGAAATGTAGGTTGCTGATGGTCACAAACGAGCCGACGTGCACACCTCCCAAATCTCAATTGTATGGATCTGTGCATCCTGCACACTGATTGGTTGAGCCAACTCTGCTCTGTCTGCTGTTGGCTAATTGGGTATTCATATCTCTGACAGCTTTGGAGCAAATTGGCCAGACTGAACACCTATTCTCAATCTAAAAGGTTACTTTCTCACCTGAACAATATAAATTCTTAATAAACTGGCATAATACCAGTCCTAGAACATTTTTTCTGTACTTTGCTGTTTGAGCACTCCCTGGTCAGAATATTTAACCTTCACATGAGTATAAATGCAACAGCTATGCAACCGTCTCCGTACGACAGACGCACATTCCAATGTGTGCAGTGCTACAGAAGTATAAATCTGGCTTTACTCACTGAATGAGGGCACCAGCAAATTGTTGTAAAATATAATGGTCTTTAAATATGAGTCACCTTTGATTGGTATAGTGGTGGATCTTAAGCCTCTGATCAGTTTTTATTGTTACACCACCCTGTGATGAAGTCTCATGAGTCATCGGTGGTAATTTTATCACTTCCGAACGGTGACGTGTCACAGTGCCTCCCACACAGGGTGGTGCATCCGAGTCCAGTAGTTTACTCAGGGCTGTGTCATAACACCAGAAGCAGAGTTTTACGATTATTAATGACAATGCTGGCAACTGTGTTTACTGTGCTGTTCAAATGGTTTGTTTAAAGTTCACAGTGTAGGAAGTGACCTGAGTGTCAACATGCACCAGGCTGGACTGCCCTTCGAGTTCTCAGAACATATGCACTGTATGCTTAAACTATTGTCGACTTTGTAAAACATCATATGAAGGTCTCCATAATGAGGTGAGGTAAAGGATTAAAAGAATCGTGGTTAGCACACACTGGAGAAGCCTGATTTGTCAGCCATTTTAAAAGCCTTAAACAGGTTTCTAATCTAAGAGTGCATGTGCATGACAAAGCTTTAATGCATGTCAACAAAGGTCTTAGAGTAATGCAGTTACTTTAGTGCATGTATTTAGTTTCTTTTCTTCTTTCCTGATTTCTATCAATTCACACACAATTAATTATGCAAATATAAAGATATATATATAAAGATATACTTGAGGACTTTAATTATCCACTCCTCAGACATCCAAACTTTCCAGTTAAACAAAGAGCATAATGGAAAATGTAATGTGGAAGAGGTACTGCAGACCAGACTGTATACATTTAAAGATGACCTTTATCAGGTTTTAGAATCCAAGTCCAGCAAACCCCAGATTCCTACAGTGTATTTTCAAAGAAAAGTAGAGCATGAAATATAGCAGGAATTGTGTAACCGCTCAGAGTATGTTTGTGTAGAGAGTTCAGTTTTGGGGCAAAACCTGCCACACCCAAATGTATTCCACATGGCAGATGCACAAAGAGAGAGCCAACACAACCATAAGGATTGTTTACAGTACACAACCTTCATAATCCTTCCTCATCAAAACCACATTGTTTAGATGTGTGCTTTTGATTCTGGGGGCGCCAGTGCATCTGAAATAAAAACAAATGAAAAAAATACTATAAAGGGCTGGTTACAGCTACTTATATGTCACAGAACATTGTGTTCATTCCTCCTCAGCCACAACCGGTAAAAGCTCCTACTATGTGCTTAGGATGTCTGACAGTGATTTTGCATCCTTAAAAATGTCAAATCTGATTGGCTGTTTTATTTGGGATCTTTAAACAGTGATATTCAAGTCAATTCACCTTCCTGTTCAAGAATGCAGAAGGAAGGAAGTAAAAGATAAAACGTATCCTCAACCCTATCTGACACATGTGTATAAAATTGTCTCGTGCTGTGGCCGGCCCCCTAGGTAATTTGACACTGTATGGGGAGACATGGAGAGGACCATGTTGGCAGCATGTGTGTGATTCCTTAATCTAACATTTTAAGCAGTGACAGCGGAATATAAGGGAGTTCTGATGTGTCCATGAAGTTGTAGCTGTATGTATGTACTTTGAGGTTAGGTGAAGGGTTGATTGTTTTGCTCATAGGTTTTTGTACTTTATTGTCCACAGGAGCTTGCTTTAAGGAATCAACTGCCTAGCAGTATGGATCAAGATGGCAGCACGAACCCCGTGTCTTCCCCTATGGCCCAGGATGCCCGGACCATGACTGCCAACAGCTCTGACCCATTCCTCAACAGGTTGGTTTCATACACAAGCCAGGAGTGTCTCCTGGAGAGCAAATGGAGGACATTTCCCCTAGTATGGCACAGTGGCAGCTGAGGTGTAGTGATTGACGTCAGCGCACTTGGTGAGGGCTCTCGTTCTGGTTCCGCTAATCAGGTCTAATGTGTCCTGTTTGAGGGAATCTGTGTGCTGGGCTGGTTGGCCATGAGCTCTGGTGAGATCTCACCGAGTTACACAAGTAGTAAAAACAGAAGGCCAGTCTCGGGGCTTAACCGTCTTCATGTGGTGATGACTCATTCAGTCCCAAGTTCAATGCACAATGATGACCTCTGGTGTACAAGTGCTGCAGTAAGGGCAGTCAAACTAAACTGTGGAAGAATCCAGAGAAATCACAGAAAACCACACTTCATTCAAAATGGAGACAAACAGTTTAGTGAAGACACAAAACCTGATGGACTGAATCTAGATTCGAAAACAGCTGCGATTATTATTTGACAGGATATCTGTGAATGCTGGTCCATGGCATTCTGGGCATTCTGGAAAATAATTCCTAGCTGTTCAAGCGCTGGTTCTTCAGAGAGTGGATGAGGTGAGGAAGGAGCTGAATAGCAAAAAGGCCATGAGAACGTGGTACAGTCAGTAGACAGGCCGACCTAATCTCCCCTCCTCCCCGCTGCCTCCACTCCCCTCCTCTCACAATGGCCTCATTCATCCTGCCTCTTCCATACTCTGCCTACATATTTTTCCTCTGCTAATTAGTATAGCCTTGTCAAATGTCTTCTCTCTCCCCCTCTGTCTCTTTTGCCCCTTTCATTGTTGCTCTTTTCCTATATTCTCCACCAGGATGAAAAAGCGAAGCTTGGTCTCAATGGTGTCACTGTGAATTAGTCGCCATAATGGTTCAAACTGCTGGGATGTGGATGTGTGCAGAGGGTCCCTGAGGGAATTAAGGCCACACTGTTACTGTTCAGCCTCTGTGCTTTTAATAACTTAGTGTGTTTGTTTTATGCGATTGTTTAATTAGGTTCACAAAATTCAGTTATGCCACCTTTCCACTACCACCAGCCCTGCTCAGAAGCAGGTCCCAAAGCATGCTGGTCCGCCCCAGCCCGGCTGTCTGCCTCACTACGTTTTGATTGGCAGAGAGAAAACTTGACCTACAGGAAGTGTCTTAGCTGAAGAAAGACACCTGCCTCTTAAAAGAAAGAAGAAGGAGATGGCAGCACATTCTTAAGAAATAAAAAGAAGCCAATACCACAGCTACTATGTTGCACGCCTAATGTTGGTGTATGTAGAGCAATGCTCAGACTGTGCAGTGGAAACGAACAGCTGGCCTGAGTATGGGAAGGTTTCTGGTGGCAGTGGAAAGGTGGCTTTAGGTGATGGTCATGAAGGTCATCTTAAACTCTGCTGAGACCAGGCTTGTTTCCTTCAGTTTGAAGAAAATCGTTATGTGAGGAGATTTTTATCCCAAGATTTCTTTGTCTGTGCGTTCTCAGTGGGACCTACCACTCTAGGGATGAGAGCACAGACAGCGGCTTGAGTATGAGCAGCTACAGCGTCCCTCGCACTCCAGATGACTTCCTCAACAGTGTGGATGAGATGGACACAGGTGAGGCTGGAGTCAGAGTGAATACCATCACTTGTTTGGATTTACTATTGAAGCTTTGATTTGATTTGATTGATTTATTCTTTCAAGCATGTAAAGACAGTTGATATGTCAACACACATAATTTTACACATATCCAACAAATGCTAATCCAATATCAATGTGCTTATACCTAGTACATGCTTGAATGGAGTAGGAAGAAGTCAGACTTATCCAGTCCTACCCCATGACATCATCTTACCATCATTGGTCTGCAAGCAGTATCTCTACATAAATAATTCTCTTCTACACCACACAAGTAATATACTAAAGAATTATTACAAAGTGTTAACATTCATACACCACACCCACAATGTTCCATCTAATTAATCATTAAGCCTGTTCTTGCATATATCTTGATTGACACATACCTTTATATTTATGTTTAAACTCGTCAATTCTATTACTGTTTTTTTTTGTCTACACTTAAATTATTCCATAGTTTTACCCCACTTATGGAAATACAAAATCTTTTTTGGTTGTACGTATAGCATGAATTTTATAATTTAACTGACCCCTTAAATTGTATCCCCCTTCCCTTTCATTAAATAGTTTTTGAATTCCACCAGGTAATAAATTGTTCCTGGCTTTATACATAAACACAGCAGTCTTATATCCCAAGCTTCTGTAGTTAGTGTTGGGTTTTTTTTCTGTTAGTCATTGTCTACTTACTGCTGCTGATTATTACCCAGGTTTACATGATGCTGCATTCACTGCATGCTGGCAGAATAGGAAGAACAGGAAACTGTCCCAGTGTTAACAACCTGGGATGATAGGGAAAACAATCTTCCTGAATCTGTAGCCTTCTGGGGCCTAATTTAGCAAAATTATTTAATTTAACTAATTTAACTTACCGGTACTTTACATTTCTAACCATCCTCCTTTTTCAGTTGGCTGAAGTAATACTAGTAGCATTAATAGTAGATTTTATTTATATTGGGCTTACTGATAATGACCGTGACTGTTAATTACAGCTGGAAGCTGATTTTGTTTTTGTATTTTCTTACATGGCTACTCGTCTTTTTGTTCCGTACAAAAACATCACCTAGCTTTTTCAGTCAAATAAGTAGAACTTTCTTCTGTGTATCAGGGGACCCGCTTCCACCCTCCATGGCAACACAGCCTAGTCGTTTCCCCGATTACCTGGACGCCATCCCAGGAACAGACGTAGACCTGGGCACCCTGGAGAGTGACAGCATGGCAGTGGAGGGCGAGGAGCTGATGCCCAGTCTGCAGGAGGCCCTGAGCTCTGACATCCTCAACGACATGGAGTCTGTGCTGGCAGCTACCAAGATCGACAAGGAGAGCTTCCTCACATGGCTATAGAGGACCCGAGCAGGGTGTGCCTTTCTCCTCTCCGTACACTCTGAACTGCTGCCTGCTCCTGTCTGTGAAGGAGTCCTAGATGCTTTTACAACACATTTCAGCGAGCCCTTCTGGACTTCTCTCTGTCTTGGCTTGTAAGGCCACCCTCTTTTGAGGTAGTATTGTTCTTTTCACTGCTGTTGTCTCCTTATTTTGTCTGTGTCTTCAAGGCTGGCCCATGAACAGACAATTACACAAGGGTCCCCAAATCTTTCACAGGTGTCTCAGTAAAGGCATATTTACCCAGAGGAGGGGTCTCTCCTTCCCCTGTTCTCCCCTCATAGCTAAACTGGGCAGGCGCATGTACTCTTCTGCAAGGACTGCCCTCATCAGTTGTTGCCTTGAGTTTCTGGTTCCCCTTTTTCCTGCAGTATAACGTGAAGCAGCACTAATTAGCTGTGTTTGACATTATTGCATCTTGCTCAAGTAGCTTTATATTTGGCCTTGTAAGTTGTTATTCTTTTGTCTTCAACAAGCCTGATAAACCAAAAATGATGTATTTGAAGCATAAAGAACAATACTGATTTGGAGTAAAGGTAATGTTAGGCCCAGTTCAGACATGCTGGCTTTGCTGGGGTGGGGGATTGGGGGTCTGAGCCCTGGGACCGAATACATTGCTGCTTGGCTGTGCCAGCGAGTCTAAGTTAAACATTTGATAGATCAAGTGCCTACTATATTTTTTGAGACAAGAGAAACAAATTTCTAATGAGCATTAGGCTGCATTTACTGTATACACACCAGCCACACTTCTAGCTAGTGTTCAGTTATCCTGCTTTTTGTTTTGTTTTATAAACATTATAAGGGGATTTAGGTAATTTTTTAACCCTAGCTTCTTTATATTATCTAAATCTAATTCATCATTCATTCTTTATCTTACATTTTTTTAATATTCTTTTATTTTTAGGTTACTACATATGTATGATAGCGTAGATTTCTTTACTAGATGAACTAATGCATCTTTATCAGGGCCGACTGTTATTGCAACACCGAGGAAAAGTCTGCCAAGGCCTGTCGATTCAGTGTTTTGGCTTGTTGTTTTTTACCATCTAGCCAATGCTTCGTTAGGCTCTGATTAACTCTATAACATAATTGTGTGATTGTCTGCTTGTTGATCACATGCAGCTTTTTACTTATTCCTAAACAATAACCAAAAAGGCAGATCTATCGGTTGACATGAAACTACAGCTGTTTGATCAATCAGTACACAACAGTGTTTGAAAGTGCCTTCCTAAAGAGGCCTGTGAACCCTCCGTGCCATGCTGCACTGTGTGTTGAAACAAAGGCTTTACAGACTTCAGCTGGGACAAGTTTAAGCAGGTTTAAGAGTCATGTCGAGGGTTAGTGTTGAAGACTAAGGTTTGACTGACAGCAGTGATTTGCGCAGATCAATTTGCTTTTGTGGCGTAATAAATAAAAAAAAATAAACAGCTATTTTCTCAGTCAGGAATAGTTGTGGCAGATTCCAAAGATGTCTTTTTAGTGACACTAATACTTATTTTCAGAGCCTAGAAACTATGACTGGTAAATCAGCATCTGTAGGAACAAACTGTATAAGCTAATGGCGTGTTTATGTTCATGGACATGTCTGACGAGGTCTAGCTAAGAGAGTATTTGACAAGATGGTTGTTCTGAGTGACTAAAGGAGAAACAAGTGATTCTTCTCAGTAGTTTACAGACTGAGAACCTGCTCCAGCCACAGTGGACACAATACACTGACAATTCTCTCAATCACATGACGTTGATGTTTACACCTTAGTAGATTTTTTAAAATCACTGCAGTAACCTTTGAATAATGGTTGGTTTAGGCCTTGCAGGATTTGGATGCTGATTTTGTTGCCAGCTCGCATTAACTTGATGGAACAATGATTTTTTAAGATCAGTGAAATTAACTGCTTTTTTTATTCCGAGCGAGACACCTCAAGTTTTGATTTTACTGATCATTAAATTGTGTTTGATGGAGTTCAGATGGATAAAACCATCTTTGTGAGAACAATGCAACTAAAACAAGTAGAACACTAAAGTGCTCGTATTGAATGGCTACTGAGTTTTCAATATGATGCATAATACTTTTTGTCACCAAACGTATTTTATGCTTAGTGTGTAACTGTGCAGGTTAGCATATTAGGTGTTGACTGCTATTGTAGCTAATCACTTTGTATTTAGCTTTCTAAATGCACATTAAATGAATTTATATTTAGTAATGATTTGTTCTTTTTTTTGATAGATATGTGCATGTGTTTTAGAACAAATTCTCTGTTACATTATATCTTTCTTCATATGATACTTTGAAATTGGTCTGAAATAAACTATATACTTTGTGGTAATGTTTTCTTTGTGTGGTATTTCATGTATTTTGAATTAAATCTAAATATATTACAAATGATATCGTTATATACAGTGGCAGAAGTAGTACTCAGGTTCTTAAAGTAGCAATACCACAGTGTAATTTAACTCTGTTACAAGTTAGAGTCCTGCATTCAAAATGTTACTTAAGTACAAAAGTACTGGCATCAAGATATACTAAAAGTACTGATGCAGAATGGCACAATTCACAATGTACATATTATTGGATTATATTTTGAGGATGCATTATTATGTTCATCATTCTTATGTTGCAACTGGTAAAGGTAGAGCTCATGTTTAAACACCTTATATGCTTATAATTTAAAGTACTTTACATGCTGCTGGGTAGCTGGTGAATTTCCCACTAACAATTGATATTGTGATGATTATGCCATATTTTGTTTTATTAATCTCTGTACTTAGTTAATACTTAGTTACTTTCCACCTCTGGTTATCTGTTCACTGCAATAAATCTACAACTTCTTAGTTAATGCAAATAACTCCCTAAAACCATATATATGTCTCATTTAAATATGGGCCAATTCCAATGTTGTCTTTTTATGATTATATTAAGTATTGGCCTATAATAAGTTGATCTATAATGCAGTATGCTGACTTGTCCCACCTTTAATAGCCACAGCATTTTGGTAACAAAAACAATAATACATCAATAATTATAATCAAATTATATGATATATGTCAATATAAAATGTGCCATTCTGCATTATGACTACTTTTACTTATACTTTTACTTAGGCAACATTTTGAATCTATGATTTTTACTTGTAACAGAGCAGAAGTGGAAAGTAACTGCATTTACTCAAATAGTTAAATTCAATTTTGAGGTGTCTGTACTTTACTTGAGTATTTTCATTTAAGTGAAACCTGAAATACAGAGTCTCCTGAGGTGGCAACATGGAGAAAGGTGCTGAAGAAAGAGTTCTCCAAAATAGAGTTCTTTAAATAATATGTGTTCACCTTATACTTGTATGGCGCATTTCTGTGCTTTACGCTGGCTTTCACACTACTTGGCCATTTACCCATTCGCACTCTGAAGCGCTCACACATTGACTGTATAAGCTGGGAATCCTCCTGAGCCCCCCCCCATGGCACCAGTAATTACAGGTACCTTTCTCCGTGTTGTCACCGTGCTGGTTTCACTTATCCACGGACTTATGATGTTTTGATTAATTACTCTGACTGGCTTTTATACTCATGTAAGTTTTATTACGCCCATCTAATATTGCTGCAGATAAGATCCTAAACACGGACACAGTGATATTCGTATATCCTTCTCTCAGAGCCTCCGGTCCTACTGGGACTGCTGGTGTTAGGGCCCTTCATGCACGCCAGAGGCCCTCAGCTGCAGCACTGGATGAACATGGTCAACACTCCACAGGAGCCGGTGAAGCTGTGGCACGGATTGGGCAGAGCCATTTAAGCAACCAAACATGAACAGATCCACAGACACATATGTGCATGTATACTGTATACACATAGAGTCTGAAGTAACAGAATAAAAGTGATAACAAATGTGTTCATCTTTTGTAAAACGCCTTGAGGCGATTTCCATCTGCTAATAAAAGCATGTCTAGATGAAAGGTGTGTTTGCATGTGATTTTTACTTTGTCAGTATGTGCAATGCAAATATTTCAGTACTGGAGCCTAAGAAAGTTGGGCAGCTGTCCCCCACCGCCCCCTAGTGCGCATGTGCAGTTGACCCCAGAACGCGGAAGCAACACCGGAAGAAAAACAAATTTGCCGTGTGCGCTAGGCGAGCAACATTCAGTGGGGAAAATAAATAGAATAAATGAATGTATTAACTTTATGACAAAAAACCTTCTCACAATACAGACCTTGAAAAGTCTCCTACCCGTTCCCCTTAATACATCCGTGGGAAGAATGGTCTCCATCTTGTGATTCGGTATCCAGCTGTTACAATATATTAATGGGACGTACAAGGGTTGAATTTAGTTTATTGTTATAATCGGTCCTGTTGGTGTTTGTGTGTGGTTTGGCACCATGGAGATAAACGAGAACACTCTACTGGAGGGACACAAAGTTGTGTTGGTTCCTTACAATACAAACCATGTGCCCAGGTAACGTCAACACCTGATCGGTCTTGTTACACACGCGAAGCCTGTCACTGTTTTCTTTTATTTTCCTCTGCTGATATCTTTAGTGATGAGTGTTTGAATGCCATTTCTTTACTATCAATGTTTAAACATGGCGGATGGGTTTTATTCTGACTTCTAAATAAGTCTGCAACTAATAATAATGTTGAGGAAACAATCTCATCGCAAGTTCCAATTAGTAGCTTTTCTGGAGCTTTCGATCGTATCGTAGTCTCATTTGTCATGGAGCATTTGAAAGCTTTTTGTCCAGGCTGGCACAAGGTGAAGAACTAACTCAGGACAGGTGACACATCTGACCCAGCTGTCAATACAAGCTTTTGATCCTTTGACAGTTTGAAGTCTCTTTAACTGATGCAGCAGAACCAGCTCCAGTCCTTTGGCATCTGGATACATGATCAAGTTAAAGCTGTAGAAACCTGCAGTCCCTGTCTCCTATTCACCTGTTTACACTCTTCAGGTATCATGAATGGATGAAGTGTCCTGAGCTGCAGCATCTGACCCCCTCAGAGCCACCGACCCTGGAACAGGAGTACGACATGCAGGGGAGCTGGAGGGAAGATGATGACAGTAAGACTTCTTCTGCAGTAAATGTACACACAGAACATGCTCTTACTGTATTTGTCCTCTAAAGCAGTTGTTATAAATCTGGCTAAGGCTTGTCAGACATAGCCTTAGATTTTTTTCATGTGAATAACTGGACACCTTTATTTCTCTGAAATCTACCTAAATAAAACAGAGAGAGAAAATAATCTTTGGTTGAACTGATCATACAGCAGTGGCTAGAAAGATAAATCTGAGAGAGCTTCTTTTATTTTTGTTAATTTATTCTAAGTTAGAGTAAAAACGTTTTTAACATTCAGAATTTTTACAATGACTACATAAATTAGCTAACATATTGTCCAAATAACAGAAGATTGATACAGGTGTATGGTTTGTTGTAAGACAACTTGCAGAATAAACAACTCTAAATAGTTTTCCTGTGTGTTTGTCAGGAAAAGTAAAGTGCTCCTAACATTCAGTACTATCCTATGTTGACTAAAAATAATGAGATGGATGCATTACTGGGTTCTGATTCCTTAGATAAGCTGCATTGCTAGACTTGCCAAAGCAGCTGAAAAATAAATTCTTACATTTATCTCTGTAAAGTATTTATTTGAAACCCCTCGTTATTCATACTAAATATTAGATTTTATTTAAAAAATAAATGGTAGGAATAAGCCACAGTTTTGCCTAAAAGCTTAAAACATGTCTTGTAACTTTTCTTTTTCCTGTTCCTTCTTCTCAGCTCACAGTAAGGCTGCCCTTTAGTGGTGGCACACAGCATTACACCAATCTTAACACGTGTAACCCATTACTGCCTGCTAGTCAAATGAATGGCAATTTAATAGTACAAATAGCAATGTATGTACATGGTCACAATGTTTGTGAGCATGTGTAGGAAATATTTGTATGTAATAAACGTTTTTGAACGTGTGAAAAAAATCTATAAACAAATTATGTTACACAAAGACACTGAAAACAAGCGTGTTTGTGAACATCTGTGTACAGAAACAAAGCAGCAAATTGCATATACAACTAGGAGTACTGAGGTCTAGTGTGAACCACACCTGAATCTGATTGGACAGTGACAGTCCAATGACAGAGCAGAGTCTAATTGTCCAATCAGGTGGTAGCTGGGTTCTTCAAATTAGTCTCCTGTCGCGTTTCTGTAAGTTTGGTTGTAGTGGAGATTCAAGATGGAGGACAGCGGTAGATTTTGTGCTGCTCAGGTGGGTCGCATTAGAAAATTGTAGAAAATCACAGTGAGCATTTCATGTGTTGCATTCTGTATGTAGGCAGCGCACAGGCGCTTCGCTCTTAACACAGTTGTCCAAATGTACGCTTTCTATTCCAGGTGGGATACTTTATGTAGCGTTAGCCGAATGCTAATGTAGGACGTTAGCAAACCTCTGCTAGCAAGAAAATTTTCAAGGGTAACGTTAGCCGCCCTTTACTCTTTTGCTTTGCTTGAGCCTGTCAATTGTCAGGCTCATTGTGAAACCTGCACAAGCTAGGAGAAATCTCTTAGAGTTGACTTGTAACTTATTCCCTGTTGGATGTGTAGTCCTGTAGATTAAAGAACTCATCTAGTTTTATAAGCCCCATTAATGTAAATGTCTTGTATATTTAATCATACAGCTAAATAAAAAACGCGGGCCGGTTTGGACCTCATTGGGTCTTCATCATGGCGGAAACATACAGGTGCAAACAATTAAAGTTTCCATGCTGATGAAGAGCTTGTGAGGTCAAAACCAATCCGTGTCTTTTTACTGAAATGCCCAGTTACAGGTAAGAGTGCTACATTCAAAATATTGCTTAAATGGTAGTGCAAAGGCATTAGCAGCGAAATATACCTAAACTATCAAAAGCAAAAGTAGTAACTGTGCAGAATAATAGAATGCATTTCACGTTTATGAATAGTATTTGATTATAAGTTCTGGTGCATTATTGTGCTCATCATTTTAATGTTGTAGCTGGTAAAGGTAGGGATAATTTTAACTTAAAATTTGAACTTCTGGTGAGTAGCTTGTAAATTTCTCTCCAGAGATTACTGAAGTCTTGTACTGTATTCTCTTTTTATTCATCTAATTCTGAAAAGAAACTATAAACTCGTTATCAAATCTAGTGGAGTGAAAAGGTATGGTAAGATGTGAAGAAGCAGAAACTAAAAATAAGTACAGTGCTTTCTCCAACAGAGTTTGATGCTCTTAATACGACTAGTAAGCATAGGCTAGGAAAATT